ATGAGTTCGGATTAATCTTAACTACTGATCACTTTCTTCCACAGAATAGGACGTCCTTGCTAATTACTAGATAGATTATGTTGCAAGTTTGCTTATTGTGATATTGCAATTGCATAACTAATTGGCTGGAAGTATGTATTATATTTTAATGTTTTTCTGTGTACTTCTTGAAAGATAATATATTAAAAATGTTGCAAGTAGATGTTAAAGATATTTTCAGTATAGCTGTCTACTGAAACTAGTTGCTAAACATAGTATGTTTTTTATGTAATAATAAATCTGGACCTCAAATGCACCATTTTGGCCTGTGGCTGCTCAATTCTTGGTGCTGAAGTCAATGACAAAAGGTAATTATTCTATTCTCTTTATTTGTTCCTGATTCAGAATTTCTGGGATTGTTCATATCTGTTGGGTGATCTAAGCTTGATTACCTTTATGTATCATTTAATGGTTAGATTACATGCTGACAGTTTTTCCCTAAAAAGTATTCTCTAAAATAAAAGGAGGAAATTCAGCCAATTCAACTCAGTACCTAAAATAATAAAAATCCATATATTCTTCTTTCAATTCTTCAAATGCACCTTACATCTTTTCAACTTGCTGCATTTCTTTTGTCTACAAGGTGGGAAGCTATAACTTAAGAAATCGAGGTCTACTGAAATATCTAATCAGATCATATATTTCAACATATGATTTACCAGGGAAGTACATTTACATTTTTTTGCCACAGGACGTTAATTGTGTAATACCCTGTCTAATGTAATATGAGAAACCTTGTTAAATGGTTATCACTTCAAATTGGCAGTCGTGACTTGTGTGACCAGTTAGACTGCATAGCTCTCATTCTTAAAGAAAAATGTAGTCAGGTAACTAAATGTTTTCCTTTGTCAAAGCTGTAAGCAGGCCCAGACATTTTTATTATCAATCAAACAATTACATTGCACCAAGTATACAAGTTGTCTTTCAGCTGTATGGAACCCCTTTCACTTGCCTGTTGTTTGGGGAATTTTTCAGAGCAAACAACAAGAATGAGATCTATACTGAATAAACGTTGATTTCTGCTGAGCTTGGCAGATTGCAGCTATGCAGTGGTTTCTTCAAAGGAGCATAAGTTTTTCATTAAGTAAGAAAATGACTGTACTTCTCCTGACATATGTTTCTGAGCCCCATCTAGATTTCATAGACTGAAGATCCATTCAGACAATGCAGATTTACGAATAGTTTCTGCTCATGTGGTCCTACTCTACCCTCTCTAGGGTTCACTCTGATATCAATGAAAGCCCAAAATACAGTACAACTATGTGTATTGCAAAATTCTCCAGCTGACCCTTACCTTTCCATACAATTCCATAGCACTTAGAGTTCCACACTTATTTGCATCTCCTGAATGGATGTTCTATGGAAATTTGCTGCCATCAAATAATTAATGTGTAATCTGCAGTAGTTTTATCTGCATTGAATCCCACTGCAGGTTCAGTGCTGACACCTGGATAGCTTGGTAGATGTTTAACGTCTTCTGACAATGTCCACATCATGCTTAGCATTCACTGAAGGAATGCCTGGCTATTTTATTGGTAACAAGTGTCATTTTAAAGCATATGTGTAGGCAGATGATGAAGCAATAATTCTCTCCCTCTGCCTTCCCCCATATTTATACATTAATTGTAAAAGGTGGTCCCTTCTAAAAGCACAGCAATGGCTTATATTTTAATTTTGATCATTTGCACCTGTTCACTGCATGTTACCAATGACAGGTGTTTTCATACAAGGTATTTCTATTCAATTTTTCATTGTAATGTATTTTGATTAGTTTATTAGATTGAGTTTGGTTTATTAATGCAGTTTTTTAAATAATTACACATGTATTTTTTCCAGAAATATTTGTTATGCAAAGTATTTTGTCTCTGCAGTCCTTCACTTAAAGCTGTTTTCTTGATATGCTACATCATTGAATGTTTCTTCTTGTATCATATAATATTAAGCATGAAAGATAGACATTGAGGGTAACTATTCCACATTTATGTTTTTGAAATGTTGTGAGGAATTATTTATGATGTTATGGAGGCTGCTGCTGTGATATTCCAAAATGCTTGGTTCTTGCATCATTCTGGTTAATTTTTCCAATCTTTTTCCACAAAGCCTCCAGAAACTGAGACAGGAATTGACAATAGTACTTAGCTGGCATGGCATTGAGAAGTATAACTAGATATCACCCACATATTGATAATAACAGACTTCAACAGTTTAATACACCCTATGGTTTCATGTAAAGAGGAGGGGAAGGAATGTCAAACCCTGAGGCACCCCACAGGAGAGAGGCTGTGGGTATGACACCTTTTTCACATCACCATGATTGGAACCAACTGCTGAGAGCCATTGCAACACAGTGCCACCAACTCCTAAAATCCACAGTATCAGAAAGATACTGTAATTAATGGTATTAAAAACCATAGAGAGATTAAGGTGCACCAGAATAGAGCACCGTCCTTATCCCAGATCATTCAGAAGTCATCAGGAAGTACAACTAATGCTGTGTCCATACTGAATTTCAGATGAAATGGGTCAAGACAATCAGCTTTTTCTGGGTTCCTCTGTTATCTTTATCATATTGGTTCCTTGCCTAATACAGATAGTCCTCAGTTAACAGTTAGGATCAGAATTGTCAACACTGTGACATTGTTAAAGTTAACAATTAGGATCAGAATTGCCAACACTGTGACATTGTTAAGCAAATCACCAAAGGTCATCATCTGACCACATTCCCTAAAAAGGGAAAGTTGGACAGTTGTCCAAAATTGTCAGGCTTGAGACTGGCTCGTTGAGAAGGGAGAGCACCACTTATTCCCTCAAATAATCTGATTCCACTGCCTGGGCCCAAATATAGGTCACCTCCCAGCTACTGAATGTTCCTTTGAGAGAATACATACTTACTAGAATTCTAATGTAGAATTTGACCTGACTTTGCATCATGATGTTGCATGCTTTGTTAAATAGTGACATACTGTATGCCACAAATTACAGTTGTTGTTTTTCATAACTTGTTAAGCCTTAATCCATGGTTTACAAATCATGATAGCTAGGTTCATGACTAGCAAATTGGTTTGCTAACACAAATCACAAAGTGATGCACAACAATGCAGTTTCTGTTTCAAATGCAGTGTGAGATAATGAATTGTTATTTTACCAATACCAGTACAATAATGATCTGAAATTTTCCCATCATTAAAAGTTAATTTGCTTTAGTTCACTGATTGAAAAGTTCCTAAACCAGATCTGATCAGCTCCACCAGCCAAGACTTTCCTAGGATTTTATTTTAATCTAATTTATATAAGAAAATAATTACCAGAAAAGGGGAAAATGCAAAAACCCAGACATTATTTTCCTTGTTTAAGAAATACAGTAAAATACTTAGCATGTTTTTTAAAAAAATACAGTTGACACTTTGGGATTGTGTATATATAATGTAATTGTGTGTTCTTTTTTTGGGGGGGGGTACAGGTATAGGGTACACCTGCTTTTAAATCACAATTCCTGCTAGCTGTAGGAGTTTTAGGATGGAGAGATATGATTTATAATAATAAAAAAGGGATAGCTAGAATTAAGAGTTGGAAAATCTGAACTGGAGGGAGCCAGCTTCTAAAGTCTTCAGAATGAAACTGATCTCAAAACAAATGATCCAGAAACACCCAGAAATGTTAATTCTGCCCTGCCTGGGCTAGCATCCAGCTTGCAATACTCATGAATCTCATACCAGAAACTTTTTCTCAGTTTCACCTAATAAATTAGCTCCTCCTATCTCAAATATCTGAATTTTGCAATACATACAAAACACAAGCCGATAAAAAAAGGGTTGAGCCTACACCATTCATTATAGGAGAAATGGTGTACTTATCTACAAAATACCTAAAGTCCCTACAGCCCTGTAAAAAACTTGGACCAAAATATATAGGACCTTTTCCAATTAAAAGAATCATAAATCCAGTAACAGTAGAATTAGAATTACCCAAAAATCTCAGGCAAATACACCCAATTTTTCATTGCAGCTTGCTGAAAAGAGAGCATCAGTCACCTCTACAGCCAAAAATCCCCCCACCACCACCTCCACTCATGGTGGAGGGTGAACAACACTTCGAAATAAAGGAAATCCTTGATTCTAGGAGATATCATGGAGCAACTCAGTACCTAGTTGCCTGGAAACACCTCCCTCCCTCACAAAACGAGTGGGTCCATAAACGTCATGTCAGAGCCCCGAAGCTATTGAAGAAGTTTCACACAGAGTATCCTAACAAGCCTGACTAAATTTTATACTTGTGTTTTCTTTCAGGTGGATCTCTCTTATTTTTAAGAGGGGCCGGATGTCAGAATCCAATTATATTTCATCTTTAATTATCAAATATAGAAACTCCCAATTCTGCCTTCTCTGGATTCTGCCATAAGAGGGAGAGAAGGGGGAGAACAAAGGGGCTTTATGGCCCTCACTTCCTTCAGTATACTTCAAGGAGCTGAATGCTGAATGTGTGTTTATTGTAACCTCAAAGCGTTAGCACCAAAGAACCTTACCATAACAAAGAAGGGTATTTGCCTTTCATGTAGTTATCTGAAGTCTCCATCCAGACGGAAGAAAGAAAAAAGGGGGTGGAATTGTGATACCTGAAACTATCACTGGAAGGGGGGTTGATTGGGTGGGACTACTGGGGAACCCCTTAAAACCTTGAATGGAGGGCTTGGACCCCAAGTCCTGTCTAGCACGCCTGCAACCACTTCTTCTTAATAAAGGATTCCTGTTGGAAGAATTATTCCAAGAGTTCTGTCTTCTTAAGATGCAAAGTGGGGTGGGTCCTTACACCTTGGCTTGTTCCTTCTCTGCCATTGTTGCCATAAAGGCAATAGGATCCTTGTCAGGTTCAACAATGATTTGACCTGTGAGGTTAAGAGATTATGACATTTAATCTAGAAATGTGTTACACAACAGGATAAATATTTTTATGTTATTTTTCAGAATTTGCAGAAAGTAGAAATTCATATTGGAGGCTGTTTTGTGAACAACTATTACTTCTACAAGAAGTAGCATAATTCTTATCCTATTACAGACTCAGCCACTGAATCTACAATGTCCAGTATAGATCCATATCAGCAGATTATGGTAAGTGGATAATTTTTTTAATTTTGATTGCCCAAAATAATTATTTTAAATATGGCAACAGTATCGGGTCCTGCATGATCGTATCGGAATCATTTAAAATAAGAAATAAAACTGAAAAGCACTGAGTTAAAGTAAATAGCTCAAATTGACTGCTTGAAGGCTAGAAATTCTATAAAAAAGAAAGTGTACTAACTGCACTATGGAATTGATTCTATAGGAAATTAAAATATTTAGATATCCAAGCATTCCAGGGTCCTGGAACAAGTTCTTGCCATTTACACTGCAGAGATGCTCCAACTCCTAACAAAATATATCTTATATTTATTTAGGGAGCTAGCAAATCATTTTATTTATTTCAGAAAGAAAGTAGATTAAGTTATTGGGGTTCATTTGAAATAGGTAACTGTGATCCAATTCAGATTTCACATTTTTTCAGTCTAGAAGCTGTCTTTGGGAAATCAGGAACATGGCAACCTTTTCTAGTTTCCCATTTCCTCTGTCTTCCCTCAGAGCAAGCTTTTTTATTTCCTTCCATGGTTTGCTATGGTTATTTGAATCTGGCATTTGTCAAGAAGTCCCAAGTAATCCTGAATCCTGATTGCTTATTTGTTTATTTGGGTGTTTGCAGCCAATATTGTTTAAACTGACCCAAACTGACAGCAAGCTGTGATTGCAGCAAATCACTAAAAGGAGCCATGCTAGAAAGAGAAGGAAGCTGCAAAAGAAATATCTTGATTAAACTTTCAATTCCTTATGCATCCTTTATATCTGATGATTGTAACCTTTTCCACAAGCTTACAGTCATTATATTATTTTAAGTGCAACAGCAGCTGATGCTTACAAAACAGCATGGCTAATCCACTTTGACTATACTTTCACTGGGTTAATGTTACCCAGAGCGGCTTCTACCTGTTTCGCTCAGCTCTAGTAAAGGAAAATTCTTCTAGTTAGTAAGTTAAGTAATCAACATTCATAAATTGTATATCTTTGACTATGCATATGAAGGGCCATATTGTAGAAGGAAGTCATCTTTTTGCACCACAGTTGATAACTCATTCCAGAATGTTAGAATATTTAGCAGACCAGAAAATCCAATTTGAGCTCTCCACCAAACTGCTATCCTGCTCCATGTATGCCTGGAGCTCTCCATGCTGTAATAGAGAATGTGTCAATTCCCATTATGTAAGAAAGAGATTTTTTTAAAACAACAACAACAACAACAACAGCAACTAGGTTGCCTACCAGATTAACTTTCTGCATCTTTGTGTTATTTGCTTTGGGCTCAGAGAGAAAGAGAAATTAGATATTAATTAAAATAATCAAGATGTACAGTAGCTCCTAGCAGTGGTTTTATTCTTAACTTGAAAGTCTTCAATTTTTTTCTCATTATATTTGTAAAGAAGCACCTTCCACCCAAGTTTTGCAAATGCAAACTTAAAATTTAAGTGATTATCCTATTGCATTTTTGTTTCTGAAATTATAATTCCTTAAAAATAACTCTTTATTACTTTTAAGTTGCTGAAATACAATAAAAGGCATGTACCATATTTTCCAGCGTATAAGACAACTGGGCGTATAAGACGACCCCCAACTTTTGAGAAGATTTTTATGGTTTAGAAAGTCATACGCTGGAAAATACGGTAGCAATGCTCGGTGGAGAAGCTTACTCTTCCTTGCTCAAAAATGTTGGGAAGGGGAAGGAAGGGGAGGGAAGCGGAAGGAAGGAAGATTGAAGGGGAAAGGAAGGAGATGGAGAAGGAAGGAGATTGAAGGGGGAAGGAAGGAAGGAAGGAAGGAAGGAAGGAGAGAGAGATTGAAGGGGAAGGGATGGAGATGGAGATGGAAGGAAGGAAGGAAGATTAAAGGGAAAAGGAAGGAGATTGAAGGGAAAGGAAGGAAGGAAGGAGAGAGAGAGATTGAAGGGGAGAGGCGCTGCCAAGGATGCACAAGCAGCTCCGTACAATTGCCCAGGGAGGGGAGGAGGCTCTGGCGGAGAGCTAAGTGGCGGCACATCCGGGGCCTCGGAAGCTGCGCGGAGGATCCGCGCGTCTTGGAGCCGCCGGCTGCCCTCTCACACCCGCCAAGGGATGGAGATGGAGAAAGAAGGAGATTAAAGGGGGGAGGTGCTGCCAAGGACGCACAAGCAGCTCTGCACAATTGCCCGGGGAGGGGGGAGGCTCTGGCGGAGAGCTTGGTGGAGAGCCAAACAGCAGCACATCGGGGGCCTCGGATGCACCTCGGAGCCGCCGGCTGCCCTCTCACACCCGCCAAGGGATGGAGATGGAGATGGAAGGAAGGAAGGAAGATTGAAGGGAAAAGGAAGGAGATTGAAGGGGAAAGGAAGGAAGGAAGAAGAGAGAGATTGAAGGGGGGAGGCGCTGCCAAGGATGCACAAGCAGCTCCGCACAATTGCCCGGGGAGGGGGGGAGGCTCTGGTGGAGAGCCTGGTGGAGAGCCAAGCGGTGGCACATCTGGGGCCTTGGAAGCTGAGTAGAGGATCCGCGTGCCTCGGAGCTGCCAGCTGCACTCTCACACCTGCCAACCTGGAGCCCCCCATCCTCATCCCGGTACCTCTTGCCCTCTCCCAGCCACCTCCCCGGGACCTGCCTGCCCCTCCAGCCTCCTGAGCGCCATCACAGCGGTGGGGTCGCGGGAGCCCCTTTCCACGCCGCGCAGCCCATCACACGGAAGAGGGGCATGGCCGGAGCGCCAGCTCCCACTCGGAAGGCACTGCTTCTCCCCTCCCAGCCCAGCTGGCTGGCCTCCGACGCACATGGGGGTATTTTCCGGCATATAAGACGACTGGGCATATAAGACGACCCCCAACTTTTGAGAAGATTTTCATGGTTTAGAAAGTCGTCTTATACGCCGGAAAATACGGTAGTTCTTATAAAATAAGGAACCCTAAAGCATTAAGCATATGAAAACATCAATATATATATGCAAGAAATTCCACTGTGTACATGCAAGAAAGAAGAAAAATCTCTTCTGAATCTTTGGACTTCAGTTTCTATCAATTGCACTCACTGGAATAATTGGTAAGGAATTGCAAGAGTTATAGTTCCAGATAGCTGAAGATTACTAGGTTTCCTATCTTGCTGGACAACGTTAACATTTCATTCTGGTCAATTTTGTCTCATTTCTTTATCCATTATTCTTTATTTGCTCAGTTTTGCACAATTATTTGTATCTCTTGAAAGTTGTTGCTGTACTTATCCCTTCCTGGTTCATTTTGTTTATTTTGTTTTTTGATGTATAATTTAGTCTGGATGTATTTTGGAATACACATAGCTCTTAGTTACCAACCACAATTGGGGCTGGCAATTGTAACCATGACTGGCTTATGACCGGCTCACTTCAAATTTGGTTATGAGGCAAATCTCTGTGGTTAATAAGTGCAATTTTGTTTCTGAGTTCCCCTTAACTCTGCTTGTCAGAAGCTAGTCGTGAAGCGTATAAATAGTGACTGTAAGACAGTGGGACATTGTAAAAGTTATAAATGCATACCAGTTGCAAAGCACTGAAATGGCAATCGCATGACCATGGGATGCTGTAACAGTTGTAAATGCAAGGATTTGTTTTTTTTTATACTGTTGTAATCTTGAACGTCATTAAACAAAGCAGTTGGTAAGTGAGGGCTAATTGTAAACACAGTTTACAGTTGTAAACACAGGCAGAAATACACGCACCAAGAACTAGTGGGTCTTGTTTGCGGTCCTTTGATAGCACACTTGGTCATAATATTAGTAGTAATGATGATCACCAGCTCAATCGTCTATGATAAGGAGTTTTAAAATCAGGAGTTCACCACAAATTATCTTGTATTGGTAGTTCCTTTCAGCAGTTCATATCAGTGGGGCTTTCTGAGTAATCTCTGAAAAAAACAAACTTTTTTGTTAAAAAAGTACACATTTAATAACTTCACCTTCAATATTTATTAGTGTCTCTAGTTCTTTAATCCGTGACAGCAAGTGAAACACCTATTAGTAAAATGGATGAATCATTTTTAATGTGATAGCATTTGTTTTCAGTATCTGTGAATTAGTGTTTTGGCTGTTTAACTTCATACGTTAAGGGAGCAACTCAACAGTTACTGTAAAAATTATCACATGCTCTCAAATGCGCAAGTTTTCTAAATAAATTCCATATTTCTGTAACTGTGGTCAGACAAAAAAATTAAGCTTGAGTTGTATCCATATCCTTTGCAAATAGTTGGCAAAACAAGCAAAAAAGGCCACCAAATCCATCATAATGTTTTTCTAAAAACATCCTTTACTTTCTCGGAATTTTCTTTTATTTGTAATGTAGGTTTGACTCTTATGGCAGTCATATCCTTCTGAGATAAGTAACAATTCTGAAAAAGTAATTCATTAGCAACGTTGATGCAATAAGGGCTTTTTTTCTCTCTCCCCCCCCCCTTTTATATTTGAGATTTGAGTTAGAGGGGCAAAAGGAATGGAAGTGGAATATTGCAAGTTGTAAAAATAATAGTCACATTGTTCAAGGATGACATAAGCTCTGAGTGCCATCTTCTGGATAAAGGGTTCAAGTCGTAAATATAACAATATTTACTCTCCTGTTCCGGCAGGCCTGGGGCTGATGTCCCCGGGGCGGGGGCGGGATATGATCGGACACGCTGTATGAATGTATTTATTTTATTGTTTTATTGTCATATTATTGTTTTAATTTTGTACGCCGCCCTGAGTCCCTTGGGATTGGGCGGCATATAAATTTTAGAAATAAATAAATAAATAAATAAATATGGGTTTTCCTCACTTTATGCAAATTTGCTATTATGCAAATGATCATTTTCTTCCAAGAATTAAGTTTAAAAATAATTTGCCATTCTATGATTTGTTTTAAAATCATGCCAGGACATTTCCTCACCAAATCTATTTCAACATTTTCCTGCCAAAATATTTTTTCTGTCTTCACACATGCTGTGAGGTGGTTATAGCTTCCTTCCTTCCTTCCTTCCTTCCTTCCTTCCTTCCTTCCTTCCTTCCTTCCTTCCTTCCTTCCTTCCTTCCTTCCTTCCTTCCTTCCTTCCTTCCTTCCACTTCTTAACCACCAGTGGTGGGAATCAAATACCTGAGCAACTGGTTCTGTGCATAGAGACCACTTCTTAAAGTCCGTTCTGAGCTGGGAAGGCCTCCCAGGCCCAGAACAGACTTCCGGAAGTGGCCTCCATGCACTTCTTGAGGTCCGTCCTGGGCCTTGCAAAAAAGGGCTAGAGCATCAGCCGGTTCACTGAAGTCAACAAAAAATTAGCTGGAATCATGCTGCTGAGCAGATTATTGCAGTATAGTTTGAAAGAAAGTGATTTTTTTCCCCCCTGAGCAATCCAATAGTGTTTTCCTTTGCATTTCTTTGGAGTCTATCAGCAATCCCTTAAGCAATTGCATTGTTAGGATCTGCTCTGACTGTTATCATCAACTGTAAGTCTATATGCTCCTGAATTACAGATCTTTTTGTATAGCATTCTATGATACTTAGGCATTGTAAAAACTGTATTTAATCAGTTTAATTTAATAAAAAAATATTTTTCCTATGGGAGGAATGTGCCTGCAAATGAAACTAAAAGACTGCAGATGTATCTAAAAGACTCTTGTAAAATCAGTATTGTGTCTACTTCTGTGCAGTGCTCTTGCTGACTAATGATATATTTGAACAGTACCTGAGCTTGAAGGGGAGGAGAGTTAATATGATGAAACTCAAACTCAAAGACAAAGAGAAAGGAAAGAACCACAAATGAATAGGAGTGGTAGCAGTCAGCTGTGCTCAGTGTAACCTATTGATCTGAATTTTCAGTAAAGCTAAAGAGAAAATAACCTCATAATACACAATGCTGTATGTTCTGGTGTGTACTTAATTTTCGTTGGGGGAGGAAAGGAGAACTGTAGGTTAGCTGAAAACTCGGTAAAGAGCTGTTACTTTTCTATTGGGTATAATTCTTTTGCTTCCTAATCAGTTGCTTTTTTGACATTTAGGTAGAACATCAGTATTCACACAAATTCATTGTGACGGTTAAGCAAGCTAAAAATGTCACCAAAGGGTCTTTTGGAGATATGCGTAAGTATCACTGTAGTGTTATTTGTATTGCATTATTCAATTCTTATCACATGAAAGACTTTAGAGAGGTATGTTCTTCAGGTATGACTGATTTTCAAATTAATTTTTGCTGCTTCAAAGATTTGAAATGTAATATGCATGTGCTATACTAAATACATAAATCCACTGCAGATTTGATACCAAATCATTTTAGAGCTTTATGGTTGGAGATTCTTAGGGCTACAAACTTACAATGCCTTTGCAGAACTGATAACACTTTTTTTCTTCCAGGCTTTCCAGATAAGGAAAAGTCTAGATAGAGGTTGAAGGAACTATGGAGTGGGTAATTTTGTCACTGACAGCTCTAATCTTTAATGACCCTGAAATGTTTTATCTGGAATCTCCCCTTTGGGGTTTTCAGAGAAGATTATTCTACAGTTTAGAACTTTTTTTTACTGGTTTTCTCTCTTAGAAACAGGAATATTACAAGTAGTGTTTTCATGAAAGACCACTTCACTTTTGAATTCAAGGGTGCATAAACCATAAAACACAGTAATATGAAATGGGCAATGGGTGTATTCTGACAACGTTTTTGAAGCAGAGGGAAGAGGAAAGTTACTTTTGGTAGATGACAGTTGGGCTTTATTTTTGTAAAAACGGCTTGTAAATGTTGTGCAGATTATCAACACTACCATCTTTTTTCTTAAAATGGTCATGTGCCCATGCAATGCGTTGTGTGTTCAGTTGATTATTAAGGAGAAAGATGGTGCTAGAAGCCTGCTCTGACATCATCCTGAGTGCAGGTGAATCTTTTTCATACAGTTTCAAGGGGGAATGTTGACCAATGAGTTCTGTTTAGTTACACAGTTGACTTCTTCAGTCTTTTTAAGATGATTATTCAACCACACATTCCTCTGCTATGATACAAAGATTTAAAGATGTAATAAGATATCAGTGATACTACATAGTGCAATCTATGTTGCAATTGTTTATAGGAAAATATTCAGTTGAGTTATGGTAAAAAAAAAAATTAGTTGGACCATAAGAAGGGCTGAGCGCAAAAGAATTGAAGCCTTTGAACTATGGTGCTGGAGAAGACTCCTGCGAGTCCCTTGGACTGCAAGGCGTTCGAACCGGTCAGTCCTAGAAGAGATCAACCCTGACTGCTCTTTAGAAGGCCAGATCCTGAAGTTGAAACTCAAATACTTTGGCCACCTAATGAGAAGGAAGGACTCACTGGAAAAGGGCCTAATGCTAGGAAAGATTGAGGGCAATAGAAGAAGGGGACGACAGAGAATGAGATGGCTGGATGGAGTCACTGAAGCAGTAGGTGAGAACTTAAATGGACTCCAGAAGATGGTAGAGGACCAGGAAGATCTGGAAGAACGTTGTCCATGGGGTCGCGATGGGTCGGACACGACTTCGCAATTAACAACAACAACAACAAAAAAATTCCCTGTGAACATTGATAATGTTTTGGATTGATTCTTTTCGCTGGTGGCGCAGTAGTTAGAATGCAGTACTGCAGGCTACTTCTGCTGACTGCCAGCTTCCAGCTGTTTGGCAGTTTGAGTCTCACCGGCTTATGGTTGACTCAGTCTTCCATCCTTCCGAGGTCGGTAAAATGAGGACCCAGATTGTTGATGGAGGCAACATGCTGACTCTGTAAACTGCTTAGAGAGGGCTGTATAGCACTGTGAAGCGGTATATAAGTCTAAGTGCTATTGCTATTTATCATTTGATTTATGTTTCTGGTTTTAGGACAAGTTATCTAAACAGCTGCCTTTTCTTTTTCTTTTCCTTCAGTTTGATATAATGGTTAAGATGCTGGCATAGAAACAGAAGACTGAGTTGTAGCCCTGCCTTAGCCATGAAATCTAGCTGGGTGAATTTGGGTCACTTTCTCTCAGCCCAACCCACCTCACAGGTTTGTTGTTGTGGGTAAAATAGGAAGAAGGAGTACTATATAAGTTCACCACCTTGAGTTACCTTTGAAATAATAAAGGTGGAACAAAAATCTAACAAATAAAAATAAATAATTTCTCCTGATTTTCCCCCCATAAATTTTGTCTGCAAAAAATGCATTCAACTAAAACACATTTCGTCACTCAGAATACTTCTTTGTTTTTTCCTATTATTGCCTCACTTTCATTAAGCCCATAGTAGAGTTCCTCTACTATTTAATAACAGAACTGAGAATTCTTCAGTTCTGTTATTAACAAATTGTCTTAATCCCTGCTGCAGTTAGCAGTTAAACTAGAAGATTATTTAGGAGCTTAATTAGAAGATTCTATTAATCCCTTTTTGTTTTTCAAAAATACACATTTAGATCTGACCTAACAAATTTGAATGTTAGTAATTGTAAAAGAAGTGTTGTTTGTACTAAATCTGGAAACTATGGATACTGAAACAGTCTATTAAAACATGTATTTTCCAGTCAACCAGTCAACAAGCCATCAATCTTTATACCAGAGGCCCCCAACCTTTTGGGCACCAGGGACTGGTTCTGTGGAGAAAGATTTTTCTGCAGACCAGAGGGGGTGTGGTTTCGTGTGTTGCCTGCATACAGCGGATGGGGCTTCACTTGTTTGCATGATCTGGTTGGTAGTATGCTGCGGCCCGGTGCCGGGCCACGGACCGGGGGTTGGGGACCCCTGTTTTACACAGCTTGTTGAAACTGATTACATCGCACTTTCTCAAGGGCTAAGGTTGCAAAATTAACTAGAGATCAGAATTTGATTGCAATGATACCTTTAAGTATATTTAATTGCAGTCTTCTACCCCAGTATATTTTTAATCATACCTTTTAATTATTTTATGTGTAAAATAAAATTTAAAAAGGCATCTGATTTAAAAGCAGAATAGCTTTATGATAGTGGAACTCAACCAGCCAAATAAAGATAAGGTCCAATTTTACTATGTACTCATCTAAAAACATGAATATGCTCCATTGTTCAAGCTTTGAGCAAGCAGGCATCAGCAAGCAGGCATCAGCAATTCATAAGGAGATGTCCACATAGAAAAGGAAAAAAAAAACAATGTCTGCTTTATAAAATCACCACACTGAAAATTATTTAAAATGTGTTAAATCTATTAAAACTTTCTTATTCCTAGAATATTCTTTTGACTTTTGATGATGTATATTGCTGGTCACTCTTCTGGAGAAATTTTCATACTGGAAGTTAAGAAACTTTGTATGAGACAGGAAGCTAATAAAAAAGACTTCATTCTGCTACATCACAATCTGTGCCATGATCATAGCATCTTATTACAGCCTGCTTTCCCTGCATTATTCTCACCTGCTGCCACTTCAATCTCCAGCACAATCTCTTCCCAGTTGAGCATTACCTGTGCTAAATACCCAGGAAAACTGCCAACACTCAGGGGAAAAGTTGGAGTTATTTACACTGTAGTTGCTCATACTTTCTTCTTCCTGCAAGCAGAGATGACCGCAAAACATGAATGTTCTTTCAGATAGCTCTTACCCCAAAGTTTTTAGGGAGTGAATCTTTTGATCCAGATGACATCATTGGGATGAAAATGTCTCGTCTTTGGTTCACAATTTTCTATGCCTAGGACTAGCTTTTTTTTAGAGATGATGAAAGCTGTTCATACCTTGTGGGCAGTAAAAGACTTAACTATAAAACAAGCAAGCTTCTTATTCAGATATAGGATGAAAATCCCCATACACTGACTAACGTTAATGAGACTATCAGAGTGACTTCATATACAGCTATTCAAAGTGACTACATATGTCTGTAAAGTTCTGTATTGGAGTTTCCCACCTGATGATCTCCTGACACTCTTAAGTTGAGAGCAGATGCATATACAGGTAGTCCTCGACTTACGATCACAATTGAGCCCTACAAATTCTGTTGTTAAGTGAAACATTTGTTAAGTGAGTTTTGCCCCATTTTATGACCTTTCTTGCCACAGTTAAGTGAATCACTGCAGTTGATAAGTTAGTTGTTAAGTGAATCTGTCTTCCCCGTTGACTTTGCTTATCAGAAGCTCTCAAAAGATGATTGCATGATCCTGGAACACAGCAAAGGTCATAAATATGAACCAGTTGCCAAGCATCTGAATTTTGATCATGTGATCATGGCATGCTGCAAAGGTCATAACTATGAAAAACGGTTATAAGTCACATTTTTCGGAGCCTTTGTAACTTTGAACAATCACTAAATGAACTGTTGTAAGTCGAGAACTACGTGTACTTGCCTACAGAAGAGATAGGTCATTGTTTCACACTGCTATATAAATACTTTGATTAGCATAAGACTATAATTAGCATGCTTGCTCTTGGGCAGTGTTTTAGCCAAACTTTGACTGCTGATATATGCATGAATGTCTGTACTCTTTCTCTTTACATAAAGGTGACATGATGGCTCAGCATTTAAGACACTTAGCTTATCAGCTGGGAAGCTGAAAACTCAGTTTTGACACCCAAGTGCCACAGAACGGGATGAGCTCCCATTCTCATTCCAGCTCCTGCTAACCTAGCAGTTCAAAAGCATGCAAATGCAAGTAGATAAATAGGTACCACTTTGGTGGGAAGGTAACAGTTCTCCGTGATGTCATGCTGGCCACACGACTATGGAACTGTCAAGGCTAAATGGTCTTGAAATGGAAATGAGACCCCCCCCATAAAGTCGACAACAACTATTAAAGTGAAATCCACAGGGATTTCTTTACCTTTACCTTTTCTCTTTATATAGTATTATATTTAATACAAGGGGTACTTTTTTGGACCTATTTACTGACTGGTTCACTTTAGTTCACTTTAGCGTGTTGTTTTCTCCTTACTGAGCAAAGCTAATCAGATGAATAATGGTTGTACCAAACTTATGGCCACTTTATGTTACTGCAAGAGTAGTATAACTTTTCATAGTTTTATATGGTATATAGTTTTAAATAGATATCATATAAAACTTTTATATAGATTTATAGTATCGCTTTAGAAATCAATTATTAAACAGTATGTGGTTTGTAAAGATTCAGTTTAGGGAATCTGATGTTATGGCCCGCCTTCAAATTTTCAGTGAAACTACTGCTGATACCTGCATGTTCTTATTTTATTACAGTAGACACTCCTGACCCCTATGTGGAGCTCTTTATTCCCACAGCACCAGACAGCAGAAAGAAAACAAAGCATATCAACAACAATGTGAATCCCGAGTGGAATGAAACTTTTGAAATAATTTTGGATCCCAACCAAGAAAATATTCTGGAGGTACTAGTACAAATATTTATAGGGAAAAGGAGTCATGCGGTGTGGATACTATATTAAAAATATTAAATGCAGTGTCAAAAGAGGCAGTGTGTGCTAAATCAGAGATCTCCAACCTTTCTGGGCTCGAGGATTGGAGGGAAGGAGAGTTGCTTCAAAATTGGTATGTGTGTGTGTGTGTGTGCACATGGGCCCACGCACTCTGGCGCAGCACTAGCAGCCCTGTTTGCACATGTGGCATGCTCTGACGCCGTGCTCATGTGCAAATGGCTGTGCACAGAGGCTAGCGGCGCATGCACAAACGGGCTGCAGACACCTGCCCTGCGCTAGCATTCCTGTTCGCGCCCATGCGCATGCACAAACAGGGCTGCAGGTGCTAGCGCAATTGGGAGAAATGTGTGCCCATGCATCCATGCACTGGCCAGCCATTTCCATGGCCCACTGGCCAAGACCCCACGACCCAGTCCTGGGCCGTGAACCATGGGTTGGGGACCCCTGTGCTAAATACCCTAGGTTACAGAGGTAGTGTGTTTAGATTTTGCTCTATGACTTTCTATTATAAATGAAAGCTTCCTTAATGAAACATTTCCACACAAAAATTCACGTGTATACACATTGAGTATCAGTCTAAGGCCTGATATTTACTTTTCTACATGGCATGAATTTGTACATAGTCACATTAGTCTCCTCTTTATTTATCTGTCTCTCGTCCATCCATCCATCCATCCATCCATCCATCCATCCATCCATCCATCTGTCATATTTCTAAACCACCAGTCTCCCTTGCAGAGGGACTCCTTCAGTCTAAAGTTACAGTATATAGTCCAAATTTCAAGCAAACGTAGACCTAGAGTGCAAAGAGAAAAAGGCATTTGGAAAATGAAAAAAAAAATTAAACTGGGGAATCTAAGAGGTTTAAGTTGGACAGCATGTTTTCTCAGCACCTTTTCTACCATTGTGAAATAACACTGACCAAAATGATGAGTATAAGATGACAAGATAAGATGATCTTGTGAACAGAGATTTGGGGACTTGGTAGTCTAAGCCCATCCCTCTTTTGATAAAGTGCTTTTACAAGTATAAAATATTATGAGAAACAATAGGAATCACAGAGCTAAGATTCACACACACACACACACACACACACACACACACACACAGAGAGAGAGAGAGAGAGAGAGAGAGAGAGAGAGAGGGAGGTGTATACATATAAAATATATAGGTCATCTAGAATATAATATAGACCAGAATGAGAAAGTTTCAATATGAATTTCTCATTTCAAAAATACACGCTTTGTTGCAGCTGGTCTATATCTTCTGAATGTCAGTCTAGCTTGAAATGGGCTTTCTAATATTACTTATTTCTCCCTTTCTAAATAAATGAGCCCCTTTGAGAAAGGATAAAAGACAAATCAATAGGAAGGAGAGTGTTTAAAAGAGAGGCAAAATCTTGAGCTCAGGAATAATTTTGCCACAGAATAGGAGGTTTTGTTTGCTTTCTGAACAGAATAATGTTATCTCCTGCCTTTAGTATAGAAAATGAGAAGTTGGTATTTTTACAAAATATCACCAAAATATCATATGACCATCAGGAATAAATATCAGTTTGGCCAACCTAATTTATGACTAATGGGTATACAATAGGTCCATTCATCCTGAAGAACTAGTTGTTATCCTAATGTAAGTAATTTTAGTACGAATAATTTGTAAAAATACAAATCATTTTTTCAAAGCTATCATTAGGATAGTGTAAGTGTAATTGTTTTGCCATATCTGGTAAAGGTTTACAGATCTGCCAATTAAAAAAGTAAAAATATTTAACCAATATTGCTTTGTTGACCTGAAGTGAAAGAAGTTGGTAATGAAATGTGTGTCTGGATCTTTAATCAATACAATGTATGTTGAAAATTGACTTAAAATTATGTTTACTAAGCATGTTTGCTTCATTTTCAAAAAGTCTTGTTTACATTTATGTAGGATATGAAAAGGTTCAGTTTAAGTGTGTATCTTTTTTCAGATTACTCTTATGGATGCAAATTATGTGATGGATGAGACTATTGGTACAGCAACTTTTCCCATTTCATCTTTGAAAATTGGGGAGAAGAAACAAGTTCCATTTATCATTAATAGAGTAAGTTCCAAAATTATCATGCCAGTTTCACTGTTGTTGGTCTCAAAATGGTCACTTTCCAAGGTTATAAGCAGAGGATCTAAAATCTAGAATCTAGTAGTACAGAAATGATGTTCTTTAGTTCTCTTAAAACATTTCTGGTACTGAAAATGATGTAATCTGTTGAAAAATACAAAGATTACAAATGATGACTGATGTGCTGAGGACATGAGTCAAACCACATCTTTTATTTTACTCTTTGAAGCTTTTTTAAAGTTGCTAATCTTAGTATTTTTTAAATAAAGGATTTACCTGGCTGAAGCGACTGCTGTAGGTATTTCTTAAAATGAAATTTATTTTGTAGTCCAATTTGCACAGCTGCATGCACAACACACATAATTGATATCTGCAGTTGTGTTGAGCCATCCATGAGAAGCCATAAGCCATGTTTTAGTGTACTTACATTTTGCTATTCCACATTTTTAATCCTTCATTTGTAGTGTCAAGACCATGTTCATATATTAATTGAACAGCATCTAGTTTTTTCATAACTGAATTGTTGAATCTAGTATTTGCTCCAGTTTTGATAATAGCCATACTTTGAAGAATGAATTTGATTTGAAAACATACCTATCAAGTTTTTCTATTCTCTGGTCTTGATATTTTTCCGTTTTTCTTTTCAGTTCCTCTCAGTAATGCATTTCAGAATCACTTCCCAGATAAAATTGGTCTGATTACTTATGAATATTGCAGTATTATTTATTATAGGTAATAACATTGCAAAAAATCATATTACATTGGTTATAAGATGATAAACGCTGAGAAACTGAAGTATAATTCCATTACATTTTTTTTACTGATGGTCGTATATTATTCCTTTTCTTAGGAAAATCTATTGATTTTTTTATGTGTTCCAGAGAATATAAGATATAGCACTCTCCTCTCCCCTCCCCTCCCTTTGTGTCCCCTCCCTTTTCCTCTCCTCTCCTTAACTTGAAATTATTGCTGCAGTCTTTGTGATCCAAATGGTGGATAAATATGACATAATATCAACTGTATTGATAATATAGTGAGACCAAGGAAATATATTTATATGTTTATTCTTAAAAATAGTTCATACCACTTCTTGATTTAAATAAAATAAAAGTATGAAATATAAATAACAATGTGTTTGGGGGGAAAATGTAGTGGCTTAAAAAAAAGGCCTTAAAAGCCTGGAAAGTTAGAAAAAAAATCTGCTCTAAAATAAACTAGTAGCAGTATTAATGTTAGGTGAGACTCCTTTGTTTATAAGACAATAGATCACAAATTTGTTGACAAAAATTGTGATACAATTATAACATTGCTTGTTTAGGTTATAGAAGTCATATTGGAGGTATCTCTTGAAGTTTGGTAAGTAATCTTGGTATTCACCAAGTATAATTGCAGAAATGATAGCATGTCTTTTTTGTGCAGTTATGATATATAAACTGTATCACAAAAACTATTGGACTACAATGACATAGGATTGAGAATTCATTAAGATCATCAATAGATGCTCTCCAGTATTGTCTTACTGATCTCAAAGTAGGACATTGCTGTAGTTTAGTCCTACGTATATTTATTTGGCAGTCCTGTATTTTGCCTTATCTGTAGTTATGTTCCATTGAATTTGACTGACTCTTCTTCTATGCATCCACAAGCATGATTAAAGCTGTCTTGCTACTATAATTTGGCCTAAAGCCTGATGGCAGTGGATCCAGACAATTCACTTCGTCTAAGCCTTTTGAAACTGCAAGCCTACCACCATATTTAAAAATGAAACACTTTAAATATTATTAAACTGTTATTTAAGTGGCATTACAGAGAGTCCATGCTTGACCAGGACTTTATTGGCATAGATTAAATTGTTTAAGAAGGAATTTTAGGACTAAAACCATGTTTTGCTCAACAGCTCTTCAACAGACCTCCGTTTCAGCATGGCTTTGTGTGATGAAGAGAAGCACTTCCGAGAGCAGCGGAAAACTAGAGTAATGCATCATCTGAACAAGTTATTGGGAGCTGATTTGGCCTCCATTCGTGATGTAAGTGTGGATGGCTTATAACCAGCAGTCTTTAGTTTGACCCCAGAATGATCCAAAGCTACATTGCGTTAGATTTTTTTTACCTTTCAACTCTATATAAATTTTTGTTTCCATATACTTTTATTAGCAATCCACTTGATGTTCTCCAAACCTGGAATACTTGCTAAAATTATCATATCATTTTGTTTCAGTTGAAGACTTTGGCTTTTAATCTTAAGTAAAACACTTTAAACTTTCTTATCAAGTTCTGAACTTAATGCTATGCATGATTGCTAAGACTTCATTTGCTTTTCTAACTAGGTAATTCTAGTTTTAACTAATTTAGTTAGAATTAGTTATTCTAGTATTAACTAAATATAACTGCTTGTTGTTGTTTTTAAAAAAACTGTAGTCTTTAATAACTTTAATGGATTTGTTTGAGCTGAAATTATGAAAACTTATTGCAACATTTGTTTGATCTGTGAGACATGCCATCTTGATATGCGGGAAAATGGGAACTGGAAAGGACAGGGAGATATACACAGTGTTCTTATTTTCCTAAACATTTATCATTGCTTAAAATGCTCAAATATGAACTTTTGTGTTGTTAAACGATCCAGAAATGTTTTTGGCCAGCACAGCAAACAAATTAGCCAAGCAAATAATTAGTTTTCTATATATTGAAAATCTTAAAGTAAAATTATTTTTAAATTTTCATGGATAAGGCAGAGAGAGACAGTAACTACAAATGACATGCTAACACATGTCATTTGTAGGGACAGTAAAGGTGTTTACAGATTAGAAACTTTTAGCCTATTTTCTTACTACAAAAACCTCAAAGCTGATTTCCTCGAAGAGTATTAAATACAGATTAGCTCTTACAAATATGTGTTCAAACCTGGATGAAGAGAGATATAAACCATGGGTTGTGTTCAAGGAATGAACAAATGATTTTTGAGTGGGTGGGTTTTCTGTTACATTGTGCTATTCGTGTTATGTTGCCATGAATATATAATGTCTTGCTCGTGTTGTTGCATGATAAATACCTTAGAAAGCATCTATGTTGTATGTTTTCCCAGGTGCCAGTGATAGCAATCTTGGGATCTGGAGGTGGATTTCGGGCAACTGTGGGATTTTCTGGAGTAATGAAAGCACTGTATGAATCTGGAATTTTAGACTGTGCAACATATATTGGTGGTTTATCTGGATCCACATGGCAAGTTTGCTTTTTTTAAAAAAAAACTTTTTAAATTTTAATAGACAATACTTTACTCTTATTATGCATATTTCTTTATCCCTTGATTCTGTAAACAAATTGCCGAAATCTTTTAAAAAGTTAAATCAGCTTTTAGTTAGTGGTTCTAGTTCTAATTCTTTGGTTTGGTGTTTTAAAAACCTTTCTGAGTTAATAAAAGCTTGCAACTTAGGTTTTTAATGTTCTGATTACACTTTTTGAGAAAATTGAAATCTATAAAAACAAATTTGCCCTAAACTTATACTTACAGTGTATGGTTCACTAATCAGCTGAAATTGTCTGCAACAAAACTTCAGTTTAGCTCAAGGCTACTATAAATGTACTGAAATTAAAATATCACTTAATAACATGAAAGCAAATATGCTGTTTATTACGACTGCATCCTTAAAATAATTGGAGTTGATTGATTTCTAAACAAGTAGTTCTTAGAGCATAAAGTAAAGCAAATTCACAGTCCCTTGAAGATAGCTTTCCCAGTGCTTGGTGGGATAGCTCTAGAGCAGGGGTGTCAATTTGCTGGCCCAGGGGCTGGTTGCATCATGCGAAGGCTGCGCCAATTCCAGCGCTGGCAATGCAAAAAAAGTCATGATACATCGTGACATGTCACGTGATGCGGCAACTTTGACACCCATGCTCTCTTACTGCTTGAAGAAAGATTGAGTCTTCTGGTAGCTTAGGTTATATTGTCAAAATTTAAAAAAGACCCCAGAGAGCCACAGCAAGCATCTGAGTTCTGGGCTAAGAGGGCAAGTAAAAATAGACTAAACAACTAAAACAACTTTATAATATTAGTTTGTTTTCTTTTTTGGAATATTATATTATTTTATATTGATAGCTAATATAAGTGATGAAGAGTCAGTTGTAACAATGGAATACATTCAATAAGCAAACAATATTTTCCTGTTGTAAAAGCTAGAAAGGTTACAGCGCTAGATGAAATTTTATCAGTTTTTCAGAATAAACTTAGTCAAAATGAGGTTTAAAAATGGCATAATTACTGTCAGATTTATTTTGAGGATCAATAAATATAATTTAAAATGATAAAATTAGAATTCTTAAACTGAAGTAATCTCTCTTAAAGACTATGTTTCTGGTAGCATATTATCTTAAACACGGAGATTAGAGAAATGCATATTCTGTTTCCCACTTAATCAGAGGACTGAGTATAAGCAATTAGAATTTTATTCAATATTATGTGTTATGGATATAAGTTATTTTAGATAAATGTAAAGATGCAAAGCTTTGTAATTTACAAAATGATAGCTTGATTTTTCCCAAGGTTCACCAGTATTTTGTCTCTTTTCTCCTCCCCTCCCCTTTTCTCATATTTTTTATTTAAAAAAATTACATGGCTTCCCAATGCCCTCTTGGTGACTCCGGGCAGCTTACAAAGATAAAACATCAGTTCAAAAACCAATAAATTTCCACCACCCCTGGAGATAATAATCAGATCAGTTACTTGATGGGTTTCATATCATTCTGGGGTTCCCAGGCCCACTGGCAGAACCATGTCTTCAGGGCTGTGCAAAAGGGTGTCAAAGTGGGGGCCAATCTTATCTCTGCAGGGAAGATGTTCCACAGGGAAGGAGTCACTACAGAAAAGGCCATTGACCTTGGTCCTGCTAGATGGACCTTCTTAAGAAGGTCCCATAGCATTCCCAGCTTCCCCATTATGGTGGGTTGGGTGGATATGACTGCTAATATGGTTCTTCAGATAACTTTGTCTCAAGCCATGTAGAACTTTGAAGATGACAACCAGCACCTTGAATTGGACCCAGAAGCAATTCAGCAACTGATTCTCCCACAAGAGAAGTAACATGTGCAAATCTAGGCTTACCAAAAACCACCTGGGTCACCACATTTTGAATCAATTAAACCTTCTGGATACTTTTCAAGGGCTGCTGCATGTAGAACACATTGAAATAGTCAAGATAGGACTTAGGGTGAGGGGAACTATGAATATGAATTGTTGGTCCAGAAAAGGGCATAGCTGATGCATAACCTACAGTTGTACAAAGTCCTCCCTAACCCTGACTGCCACCTGTTCTTTAAGCAGGATTTGTGAGTAGAGGAGAGCACCTCCTCTTACATTCATCACTATTATTGATTGAAGATCTTGTGACCATCTTTGGTCCATTTTATGTGCACTAAAAAAATTGTTTTGGTCTGTTCATAGGTACATGTCAACCCTGTATTCTCATCCAGACTTCCCAGCGAAAGGGCCAAAGGAGATAAATGTTGAGTTGATGAACAGTATTAGTCACACCCCACTGAAACTCCTTACACCCCAGAAAGTGAAACGATACATTGAAGCACTGTGGAAAAAGAAGAGAGCTGGGCAGCCTGTGACATTTACAGATATCTTCGGAATGTTGATAGGAGAAACACTGATTCAAAACGTAAGCATTGGTCAAAACATTTAGGGAAGCTGTTTAAATCTTAGTTGCATAATATTTAGCAACATCATCGTGGCTTGCTTTCTTCCCTTGACTTCCTCATTCAGTTCTCTATAGAGATGTATGTACACATAACCCCCTAGGTACTACCGTATTTTCTGGCATATAAGGTGTTGTGTCCTGAGCCTGCAAAGGCAGGCTTGGGACGTTGCAACAGTCCCGGGCAGTTGCAAGCTGCCCAGGACCAGACTGGCTGGCGCCAGCACTCGCACACATGCGTGAAGTGCAAAGCGCGCCAAATGTTGCCGTTTGGCCCGGGGATTGTCTTTAAGAGGAGGAGAGAGGCTTGTGTGTGCCTGTCCTATAAATGCTTCTTCGTGAAGCACAGAAACCCACCCTGTTTTGGCTGGGGACCCTGGTACCTTTCAGGCGCAATTCTTCTCGGGGTTGTACCTTCTGATGGCCCAGACACACAGTTGCAATGTGGCCTTGCCTTCCACATACTCTACAGCAGTGGTTCTCAACCTGTGGGTCGGGACCCCATTTGGGGTCGAATGACCATTTCACGGGGGTCGCCAAACAAGGCTGTCTGCCATTTTTTCCCCTTTTCTTTGGCCACGCCCCTGGCACCCAGTGATATATAAGTGGTTGGGGGTCACCACAACATGGGGAACTATATCATGGGGTCGCGGCATTAGAAAGGTTGAGAACTACTGCTCTACAGATAGCAGAGTGAAACCTGCAGTCGGTCCTCTTGTGGTGACCTCCACACCCGAAGCACTTGGGGACAGCTGAAGACTTTTCTTTGCCTTCCCTCTGCTTCCCTTCTTTTGTTGGGTAGAGATGGTCTACTTCTTCATCAGGATCCTCTTCTGAGCTTCCTTGGAATCCCTCCTGGTGCACAGACACAGCTTCTGGAGTATTTCTGATAGGCCTCATATTCTTGATTGCCCCACCTGCTGCCTCTTCTGCAGTAACCTCTCTCAAGGCATCTTGGAATGATAAGTCTTCTTTGGCAAAAAGTCTCTGCTGCAAGTCTCTATGTCTCAGTCCACATACAAATCTGTCTCTCAGCCTTTCTTCTAAGTCTTTAAACTCGCAAGGCTTAGCTGCTCTTCTCAATGCAGCAATGTACTCTTTAGCTGACTCGCCAACCCGTTGATCGCTCTGTTCAAAAGTATGGCGCCAAGCGATGACAGACAACTTGGGCTGGAAATGTTCCTTTAGCAATTTCTTTAAGTCTGTGTAGGTAACAGATTCTAGAGGTGCAGGTGCTGCTAGTTTTTCAGTGATCTCAAATGCATCTTGACCACAAAAGACACAGCAGGGTGGCGGCTTTTAAGCCATCTTCTCTCATTTGATTGACCTTGAGATAATTTTCTACTCTGGCCACATAAGACTCCCATCTTTCCGGATGCGTAACATTGAACTCGGAAAGTCTTCCTATCTTTGCCATCTTCAGTAGTACAGGAAGGGTCTATCAGCCAGCTTACCTCCAACGTTTGCTGTATTGGCAGGCAGTTGCTGAATTTAATGCCGTTTCCTGCTGCTTCAGGACTCCAGGGTAAGCTTACAATTGTTTGAAGTAATTGCAAGGCATCCCACCTTCGTCGCCAGTGGTGAGTCCTCAGCGAAAGGCAATAACTTCAGGAGTCATTTGGTAGTTCTCAGGAGCCTCTTTATTGATGTTCAGCAGCTCTGTTACAATGCTGAGGCACACAAGCCTCTCTCCTCCTCTTAAAGACAATCCCCGGGCCAAATGGCAACATTTGGCGCGCTTTGCACTTCACGCATGTGTGCGAGTGCAGGCGCCAGCCAGTCTGGTCCCGGGCAGCTTGCAACTGCCCGGGACTGTTGCAACGTCCCGAGCCTGCCTTTGCAGGCTCAGGACACAACATAAGGTGACTCGGCTTATAAGACGACCCCCGACTTCGGCGCCAATTTCCATGCCTAGAAAGTCATCTTATACGCCGGAAACTACCGTAATTTCCGGCGTATAAGACGACTCAGTGTATAAAACGACCCCCGACTTCGGCGCCGATTTCCACGCTTTAGAAAGTCGTCTTATACGCTGGAAAATACAGCACTTACATTAGAAATTCAAAACTGCAACCAAAAACAGGCCTCTATAGCCATGTGACTTGATTTCAGTCTCTGCTGCAACTGTTTGCAAGCAGTTTGGGAACTGCTCTGCTTTTTAAGTACTGTACTTTGCAAACTATTGTGTTTGCAAACCATTGAGCTTTTATTTTGGAAACTAGGATATATTACTGTAGTTTGTAGGTTTTAAATTTAAATTGCCTACAGAAGTTGTGGGTGGAAGCTTTAAAGAAGAGACTGGATAGGCATTTATCAGAAATACTCTCTTGTGAGAGAAGTGGATTAGACTAGCTGACCTCAAGGTCCCTTCCATCTCTGTTACTATTGCAAGCTGAGAGTTCTGCAAGTCCCTCCCCCATCTCCCTCTGGGTGCCTGGCTGGCTCTTAAGCCAGTGGTTTTTATTAAAGCAACAGTCCCACCCCATCTCTGGGCAGCTGAAGATGCTTGAGCTGGCTAGCAGCAGTTTTGGTTTTTTTTTAAATAACTGGTGGCTTGCAAGCCCTGCTTGGAGGCAATTTAGTTCCTGAACCAGCTCACCGGAAATAGCTGATCGGCAGCTGGTGGGAAACCCTCCCAGTTCAGTTAACATGGCAGCTATCGGAGGAAATAGTAAGTCAAATTTTCTTTCATTTAACAACACATTTGATTTAATTAATGCATTTTATTTTAAAAATTTGTAAAATTAAGTTTGATTCATTTGATGAGGGTTTTTTTGTTTTTTGTTTACTTCTGAGCCTAATGGCCAGGCTCCATTAAATTCGTACCTTGGGGACTACCTTTATATGCATGTGAAAATACAGGTTGATGCATTAGAACTGCTGTCTTTGTAGCAGAAACTGCAGATAACGATGAGAAAACTTCATTAATCATAATTAAACCAATGGTTTGAATTCTAATTATAACTACAACATAATCTAATGTAAATGTGAGTTGGGCTCTGCCTTTTGGTTACTCAGAAAACAGCAATAGTTGCCCAATACTTCTACTGTATTACCACCTTATCATAAATATACTCATTCAAATGTCAAAAACTTTCATAAAACATAATAGGAAAATCTAAGTTAGGTCCATAAACATTAACTTTAACTAGTATAGTCTCCATTATTTTAGCACATAAAATTAAATAACACCCATTTACATCAGCAATATAATCTGTTGTACATCAGTTGAAAATCCTTTGAGTTTCCTAATATATACTTTGAGTTCCCTAATATATGAATACTATACTCACTGTTTTTAAATTTTATATAATTAGTCTTATTTATTATAAAAAGTATAGATAACAGGCACATAAGTTGCTCAGAATTTGAAAGAGTAGTTTATAAACAGACCCAGTTATCACCAAGTCCTGATTTTTGACCAGGCTAATCAGTAGTAAGAAGTCTTTCTTAGTTTTTATTACAAGATTATTAATTCATAATTTCCATGTAGATAATTCTGTTATAGTTTGGTGTGTGTTCAACTGGCTATGACCATAAAGAAGTAATCTGAACTGAAATAACTTTTATGTATTTTTAAAAATATAAAATTCTGAGGGACATGGGCGATTAAGAAATATGAAATATAAAATACATCAGCTTCTGTTCAAATATTAAACTTCTTCTGAATCCTTTTTTGCAGAGAATGGATAACACTTTATCTCATATGAGGGAAAAAATCAACAAAGCGCAGTCAGCTTTGCCACTTTTTACCTGTCTTCATGTTAAACCTGATGTGTCAGAACTGATGTTTGCAGGTCAGTGTTCTCACTATCTGGGTTAAGTCAACCTTGCTATTTATTTATTTAAGACCATCCTATTCAAGAATGAATCTGGGTGACTTATAAAAGAAACAATGGTAGACAGGAAAAAAAAAACCATGAATGTCCAGGCAAGACAAAAACACACCCATTAGGGGCTCAACAACCACCCTACTTCAGAGCTTAGGAGAAGAATCTCAGTTTTAAGGACTTCTAGAACCTCATTTTTTGAAGGAGGTACATGTATCTTTAGAGAGATGCTATTCCAGAGGGAAGGCACAGTAACAAAGAAGTTGGGTATGTATGTTGGGTCCTAACAGATGGTACTGTTTAATATATAAGTATGTATGTCTGACCAGATAACCAGAAACCATGGAACATGGGCCTCAGATAATGTGGCCTTATTTATAGGTAATAACTAGCATCTTGAATTGCTTCTGGAAACTCACTGGCTACTAGTACAACTTGGGCAGGAATGGTAATCACACAGGCTTATGTCGATCACTTCCTGTGCTACTGCATTTTGGATCACTTGTGATTTTCAGATGATCTTCAGTGTCACATAGGGTGCATTGCATGATGTGATGAAGATATGAGTAATCAAATGAAGGGCCTCTTAATGCAGGAATGGACACAACTGACACACAGGATGGAACGTTTGGTGGAATCACTGGCTAAACTAGAGGGGGGAATAAAAAGGTGTTCCAGCTTGGAGTCACCCTGTGGGAGGAAGCAGCAGAGGCCAGACTACTGAAACCTTTATCTGCTGGTTCCCAAGAAAATACAAGTCTGGTGAGGTTCTTGTAAATAGGTGATCAAGATGAACAATAAAGAAACTACTTTGACCTATTCACAAAGCTGGTCTAGTTTCTTGCACAGAGGACCTCTACATCTGCCACATTCTGTTCATCCAAGATGATTCCCAGGTTCCACACCCATTTTGAATAAGGAAGAGTAGCCTGTTCCAAAACTAAAGATGAATGGTCCTCAGATATAGAGCCCCTCAAAATCTACTTAGTCTGCTTCTCCTTATCCAAACCTGGACAGCCTCCAAGCACCATGACAGGACATCGACACTGGCACAGAGTCAAAATGTATATAACTGGGAATCATCAGCACATTGATGATCTTACCTGGTAGCTTCAGGAGAAAGGAAGATCAAGAAGTTTGAATCACAAAACATAGGAAAATAAAAGAAACACCATAAAGCTTGATTTTTATTGTCTCCACTCCAAAAAGAAGAAATTAGAATGACAAAGAACTAGAATTAAAGACAGATGGAGAAAAAGAGTTTGAGACTACAAGTGATGTTTTTGGTCTGGATTGATTGAAAGAATTGGTGCTTGTTTGATGGCTGTATCAGTATGCTCTTTTTAGTCTGCTCTTTTTAGTCTGTCTCAGACACATATACCGTATATTCCGGCGTATAAGGCGACCCGGCGTATAAGACGACCCCCGTCTTCGGTGCCAAGTCGCATGCCTAGAAAATCGTTTTATACGCCAGAAACTACCATAATTTCTGGCATATAAGACGACTCAGCGTATAAGACAACCCCCGACTTCGGCGCCAATTTTACAGCTTGCGAAAGTCGTCTTATACGCCAGAAAGTATGGTAAGTTACACAGTGAGACTTCTTTAGGTAATAATTATGAATCAGGTAGGTCCTCTGTGTTTTACTCAGCTGCTTTTTAATGATGTAAATAAACCAGTGTAAACTTTCTCTTGATTGCTAAAAACAAAGTTCTGCTTCCTTTGTGCATGTGCTGCACATAGGTAAGTAAGTAGGTTTAGGGAGACATGGAGGCACTGTGGTTAAAATGTAGTATTGCAGGCTAATTCTGCTGACTGCTAGCAGTTCAGTTTTTACTGGCTCAAGGTTGACTCAGCCTACCATCCTCCCAAGGTTGGTAAAATGATGACCCAGATTGTTGGGGGCAATATGCTGACTCTGTAAACCACTTAGAGAGGGCTGCAAAGCATTATGAAGCAATATATAAGTCTAAGTGCTATTGCTGTTGCTATTGTTCAAACAAAGCAATCGATGCTACATGTAGACTATATGAAATAGAATGACTCTGATGGGTTTCTTTCAGAGAAAATTCATGTAAATTCCAGGAGTTGGAGGTGGGTTGGAATGATGATTTGTATTAATACAATAATATTGTATAACATTTCTGTTAATAAAGTCACTGAACTGATAGAATTGCTTAATATTTGTTGTCTATTGTGTATTAGGTGGCAGCTTAGTATGAATTTCGACTTTGTGATGCTGCAGTTGATTGGTAGGACTTAGTTCACTGTGGGTTGGTTCCCAGCTCTATTTTTATTTTTTTCATCATGGACCAATTTATTTATGGTATAGATCAAAGTCCTGTATACAGTAAAGCAAAACACATAAGCGAAACTGCAGTGTTAAATTAGTAAAAAAAGATAACTAATATCTCTCCACACAGAAACAGTCAAATCCATATACTACCCAAACTCTCTTGTCTGTTTGCACTTTATAACCTTCAATTGTGCGAAATGCTGCATCATAGGGCAAAAGTTGATCAACTGGAACCAAGATCTTTCTTGACCCAAACTATTGCAATAAATAAATCACATGGTATATTCATGTAATCATATCAGTTGAGTTCATCTTGAGGGAAATTTGACTATATTAGTTTACATGTTCATATATGTATGTTGGGAGGAGAAAGATGTGAGAAAAATCAGAAATCTGAACCAGTGGCAAACTTCTGTTTGTAAGCATTGCCTTTATAGTAGGTTAACTCATTCCTCATTTCTCTGTCTGCTCTAACCATTGTTTATTGCTGCTTTTAGATTGGGTGGAGTTCAGTCCCTATGAGATTGGAATGGCTAAATATGGGACCTTCATGACTCCCAATCTGTTTGGCAACAAGTTTTTTATGGGCACAGTAGTGAAAAACTACAAAGAGAACCCTCTGCATTTCTTAATGGGTAAGTACTAGATTAGATAATCTCAGAAAGTAAATAATGTCCAAACATTATTTTTTTTAAATAGTAGCTTTGTTTTCTGAAAATCCAAGAACAAAATGATAGAAATTGTCTAGCAAATATAGTGTAATTGCAATAATAATGTATAGCTTTTATCTATTTTGTATGGTGGTTCCTTAAATTATATATAATTCTTTTAACAAATTCTGCTGGACAGATTCAGTTGGATAAGCCCAGGTTTTCATCACATTGTTGAAGGTGCCTAAAGGCTTAGAAACAAAGCTCGTCAACAAGAACCAAGCTAAGCTTCCAGTTGCTTTTTTTACTGTGTAGTATTACAGAATTTTAGAAGATTCAAACATGTCAGAATTATAGCAAAAATAATCTTCTATATCATTCCTAGGAATGTTTGGTATGGGAAAAAAAGTGGTTGACTTTTTTCTTCATATAATAGAACATATAGTACCATTACTGTATCAGATCTGGAATATATATATTTCTCTGCTACCATCTAGTGTTATAGACATTTGTAGTCCAAATATGGTAGCTTAACACAGAGTTAAAGTATGTGTGAATTGTTCTTGACTTTTCTAGTCCTATGAGTGAATCTTACAGTTTAACTGTAACTGGTCTTACAGTCAGATGGACAGAAAGTTTCTATCCAGTGTAAGGCTTCATAGTTTGTGTTCTTCTTCACTCTGTTCCTGAGATTCCTTTTATAGTAGTGTAACAATAGTTATTTTTTTAATTTAAGAAATACTATAAGTTAGTTTGCATTTTAATACCTGACATTGAAAATGAATAAAGATATTAAAAGGATAAAATATCAGTCACCAATGTACATAAAATATTTTACTTGTTTCAGGTATATGGGGAAGTGCATTTGCTATACTGATCAACAGAGTGCTTGGGTTTTCTAATAGTCACAATAAAGGACCCACAATGGAAGAAGAATTAGGTATTGTAATAAAAGTTGGAGTATGTGTCTATGTTGACATTTCTGTTTAAAATTATTAAATAATAAATAATTAAAATTTAATTTAGATAATTAAATTAAAGTTGGCATGCTGAAAAGCAAAGCTCTAGCCTCCAAGATCATCTATTTCCCAGTCACCTTTTAGTTCTAAAGGAAGTAATAACCTACAGTATAAGTGCTTTGTTTGGAAATGTACTACCTGAAGACTAAAAAAGAGAAAAGTAAGTAAAACTGGTACAGAATACCAGTATTGCACCTTGACCTACAGGGATGGAATCTAGAAGTGATGGAGATGGTTATATGTTAAAGAAAGAAGTAATTTGTAACTGTCCATGTCTCCCATGACAGCCAGATTGTCAATGCTACATTCTTCTCAGAGCTTTTGCAGCTAGGTAGAAAGAATATTCACTTTTCAGTTAGAAAGGCTTGGGATTCCTGTGCTAATTTTAAAAGTAGCTTAGACAAATTCATGGACTTTAGTAATTATGGTTATAAGCAGCTTGGATGCCCATGTTTTTTCCAATAGTATGGAATATCATTAGGAAAGAATATTGCCTTTATGTGTTGGAGTTTGTCTGAGGCATCTGGCTATATATTTAGTAAGAACAATGCTTGATTAGTGGAACTCTAATATCGTGAATTTTATTGTTCTGTTTATTCATGTCTATCCATTCTGTTAGGGATAAAAACTTCATGTCACTTATTTCCCCATGCAGCTTATGTTAGGGACTGTTATTTGTCTCCCTCATGAACTAAAGAACAAGTGAAGAATAATCAAACAGAAAGATAAAATTGCTCAACAAGATGGTTTTTTACAGATGCCTAGATCCAGAAGTTTAGCCATCTCCCAAGCTTGTTCCAGTCAAAGATGAGCAATTGATTGCATGAGCAATCTTGGGGGAAAAAAATTGTAACCACTCCTGTAATTCACTTGTGACTCCCTCTGAAGTCCACATGATCATGGGTTTTGGAACCCCAGTAATTTATGTTGTTTTATCATTATTACCCAAATAAATTCAGGGCATAATGGAAGCATTCTCCTTAAAAATTTTGGAACATAATTTATTATACTGCACCAGTGTAGATTGATAGATGTTTTTCAACTTCCTAGTTTAGGGCTAAGAGAAAATAACTTGCTCAAAGTCACCTAGTTGGTTTCAGTTCCTGATGAAGAATTAGAATTAGAACATGGGGTTCACCATTCCTGGTTCAGCCACCACTCTGGCTGTCTGCATGACATGATCTGACTTTATATAAAAATTGACATAGAATTTTAAATGGAAGAATTGCTATAATGGACAAGACCAAAGCATCAGAGGATTATATATATATATATATATATATATATATATATATATATATATATATATATATATATATATATATATATATAAAAAAGCAAACATTAAATCTATATTAAGGAAAGATGTAGAATACTATAAAAGGTTTTATTTCCCTCCGAATAGACCACACAGAATGCAGGAGATGAGCTGTCTCTGAAAATTTCTTCATTGTAGTAGTCATCCATGCCACTCCTTTATCTACTCATAGTTGACAGCCCTTTGTTTGGTCTGTGGTCCTTTACAGAAGCCCATCATTTTCCCCTACTTCCCCCCCAGGCAGTTGTCAGGCTTTTAAAAGAATGTGGGTGAGAAAAATGCATCTATGTACATTTTTGGCTAACATACAGTTCTACATATCCTATAGGAAATTTCCATCTCTCCCTAGGAGATTAGGAAATAAAATTGGGAGCATCTAAAATAAAAGGCTGGTTGGTAGCAACTGCTTGCTTATACTTTTTTTTTTATTAAAAGTTTTACAAATTTAATACAATATAACCCAAACCCCTCCTACCCCTTCCCCCCTCCCCCACTTCCCAGAGCTGATTACAGGGTAACAAATAAACAATCATAATCTAACTAACATTACCCGACTATACTATCAAACAATCTATAACATACTTTAACTCCAACTGCTTGCTTATACTTTAAAATGGGTGAATTTGTACTTCAATCAGAGAACCATTTGAAATATGCATTATATTCCTGGCTTCTGTAGTGGAGAAATATATAGTTTTTCAAAGGCACTGAGACTTGCTCCCAAATGGATAAAACATTGTTCCAAAAACTAAAAGCATGCTTAATTGTATTGAATTCATTAACTTTGATATGGTTAACTCTTGCATTATTTTAAAACTAAATCTGTTTCTCTGTTTCCTTTTTAAGTTATTCAGGGATAAGTGGGGTGGGTGGCTTGGTTGGTTGTGATGTGCTCATTCTGTCATGACTCTTTGAATGCCTGATAGTTTGTTGTTACAGTACTGTTAGTCAGAAATCCCTAAATCAGACTGAATCTTATTGCAGAGTTGGTTGTTTATTGGCTGCCAGAAAACTCTGATACTGATCTACACAGACATGCACTCAGATGGCCATTGTGTGAGAGCATGGCTCTTGTAAAAATCACATGGTCAATTATACTTTTAAGGAAATGATTTACTTGCTTTCCAAAATGCAAACCACTCCCAATTGAACATTCATGTGAGAAAATAATAAAAATAACAACAACAACAATAACAACAACTCCTGAAGAATAAGTTAATCTAATTATTTCATACTGAACATAATGTCAGTTTCTTGATAAGAAGCATAAGATATCCTACACCCTTTGTTTCCCCATATACAAATATACTTTGGAAATCCATTTCTAAGGAGGAAAAATATTAGAGTAGTCTAGAAATCAGAGCCATCCATACTAAGATGAGTTTTGAAACTACTTGAAATGTTTTTAGTATGTCAGACTGCATTGAATATCATAACCATGAATGAGTCCTAAAGCCAGTTCTCCTCACTTCCTAGCTTCCACGTTTCAGTGCTATCGTAATGAATTTAAAATGCCAAACTGATTTAATGTTGGAAAACTAGCTGGAACACTTTATAAAACAGGATTATATCCCAGTACAGTTTGTTACAAGTAGGTGTAATGTAGAAAGAGTCTAGAATTGAAGCAGTGTTTTAGAGTTGTTGTTCTCAGCTGCTGTTCTGAGACAGACCCCTACGTTAACAAAGCTTTCTCTGTCTCTTGGATCACTGGTTTATTTGGTGTAGGTTTTTTTTTTTTATGTATTAGGGATTTTATGAAGGGCTTAGTGAGTCCAGTGGAAAATAGCTTGCTCACATTTGAAGATGTAATGATACATTCCAGTGAAGAACTAGTCTTGTGCCAGTATTTATACTAGGGAGATGATGATAGAATTGGGCCTTGATGTAATTCCAGGAGATTGAATTGAGGGTTTCAGAAAGCAGGAATTCCAAGAAGTGACTAGATTGGTGATCCTTTGTCCTTTTCAACTTTAAGGATTGTGGATATCCTTTTCCCAACTTGGCTGCATCTAAGTATATAAATAGAACCACCCAGCCACCCTGGAGATCAAATTATATATTGCATTGAACATATAGAAGCTTCTTCTTCATTTTTTTTCTTTTATTGCAAGTGGTAGTCCTACTTTAATGCAATTGCAGACAAGCATGGAGAGGGAAGTTTTACAATCTTTTTCCTTCTAGCCTAGAGTTATTTTCCAAAAGAAATAGCTGTGAGAAAATCTTAAATTATCTTCCCTGTGTACCCTTGCCCTGATCCTGGTTATGATCTTACAGGCTTTACTTTTAAGTAACTTAAAAAGTACTTTTTTATATATAATACTATATGTAGATCTTCCATGATCTTCTGTGCAAAGAAAAAATAAATAAAACTACATTAATTGCTGTTATTACATAGAGAGCAAGCAGAGTAGGGAAAATTTTAAGCCATCGAATCTCACTTATATCTCAGAAGTTTGATTGTTAGATTAATTTGTTTCTCACACTGTATTAGGTCTTGCTTTGTCTCGGTTAAGACTAGCAGTGAGTTGGCTCGAGTAAGAGAAAGACAGTGTACATCCCCCCCCCAAGATATTTCTTTTGATTTTAGTAATACTGTAATAATAATTAGTTAGATCAGATAGGGTGAAGAGCAAAAAGAAGTCACTGTCAGATAATAAGAAACTAGCTTTATAAATTATGAATTTCTTTCTTAATATCTTTTATCAGAGGGTGGCATTGTAAAAAAATCCAATGCCTCCAACTTTTACGTAGCCTTCCAATCATATTTATGGAGAGTGAAAAACTTTTGGAATAAAATAACTGCAAAACTCAAGCTAACTTTTTTTTTAAAAAAATCACAGCGACCTTGTTTCCTCCAAACCACCTCTATAGGGAAGTTAGGCTAGATTAAAACCCTTAAGAAAGTACAGGCAACTGCCTTTGCCCTAGCCTGCTCCCATGCTCCAGTATCTATGTGATGATCCATAGAAGGTGCACATTCCCTCTGTGTTTACAGAATGGAAGGCTGCTGCAGTGAAGAAATATTCTCATTAATTGCCTTCCCCTTCCCAATGTTAACATATTTTCTAATTTCTTCCATTTCTCTATTTTTATTCAATAATTCCTTTCTTATTTTCACAGAAAATATCAGATTGCGACAGATTGTAAGCAATGATTCAGATAGTGATGATGAATCACAGGGGCCGAAAGGTAAGAAAGGTTACCAACCATGACAGCACCTACAAAATATTTTTATGGACAATGTCTTACCAAAGAAAGACATAACCAAAAGAGCAAAACAAGACTATGTGTTAATTAAACAGAGGTACTTTCGCCCCCCCATTAAATATTTCTGGATGCTTTATAAAAGTGTGTGCTTATTTTTTTTTTAAAAGAAGAAAATACAGGTGTTTAAATGTCCAGGTTATGTACTAGATTACAAAAACATATTAAAAATATCAGAATGACATTTATAATTTATATTGTACTTTAAGATATTGAAAGTTTTTTTGCATGTGTTATCTTGTAATACTTAAAACAATTTGCAAGATAGGCTTGAACCATGAGATGGGCAGCAATTAAGTTAAGTTAAATTAAATTTAAATAAATGTTAGTATTGCCATCCCCATGTTACAGACCAGTGGTGAAATATAGTATGACTTCCCTGAGTACACAGGTAGTAAGTTCACGTGAGAACAGTGATGTGTTGCTTGGTATTTGAGAACTGACTTCATTGTTGCGTGCTGCTGCAGAACAGCTGATTAGTGTGCTAGGTGTGGAGACTCAGCTCTGTTCTGAAACTGCTTGCAAAATTAAAGAAAAATCAACAATTGGCTCTTATGAGCCAGTTTAAGAACACCCCTGGGAGAAATGCTATTCATCTAGAAATATACAGATGCAATTGCCTTCTTTTCTTTAAAAGAGAAATAGCAATAGCAATAGCACTTAGACTTATATACTGCTTCACAGGGCTTTACAGCCCTCTCTAAGCAGTTTACAGAATTAGCATATTGCCCTCAAGAAACTGAGTCTTCATTTTACCCACCTTGGAAAGATGAAAGGCTGAGTCAACCTTGAGCCGGCCAGGATCGAACTGCTGGCAGTCATCAGAATTAGCCTGCAATACTGCATTCTAACCACTGCACCACCCTGGCTCCAAATACTGTACATATTATAAAACCACTGCTTTTTAAATTAAATAGTATCTTAATAGAAACTTTGCCTTTAAAGTTTTCAACTTGTTTCCAGATGAACAATTTTTGTTGTGGGATTATCCTCTGGTGGATACAGTGGTGTTTTTTGGACCAATGCTATCATTCTTCACTTGGCACTTCCCAGTTTTTTTTACCACTGTTCTTTTTGTTTTTTTTCTTCTGTTTTTTTTTGTTTGTCTTGTTTTTATTAGGACAAAGGTTGTTCCCCCTGATTTCTCTTAATTTTTTTTTTTTAAAATATAAGGCTTTTTTCAAAGAACAATTTTCACCACAAGTTTCTGTTCATGAACATAATTTAAAAGTTAAGCACTGATACGAAAAACACCAGTCACGTGCAAGTAAATACCTCAGCTAGTCCATTTGAAGAATGGGGCTTCAGATATACATATAGAGCAATCCACAATGTTTGGATCTTAGCCATTTCATAAGGAAAGGCATTTGGAATTAAAGAGTGGTCAGCACATCCTTTTTCCTCCTCCTCATTTACTTCTCAGCTCTGATTTTCAGTTTTCTAGAAGCTGCTTGCTTTAAGAACAGCATCAACGGCAATCAGAAAAACAGCAGTAGACCTCCATTGAGCATATTTTGCATGCCATGTACCTTATGCCCTTCAGCTGCTGCCTTTTGCAAATGCATTCTTTCTGTGACCATTTTATTAAAATCTTCTCAAAAAGTTATTTTGGAATATCACTTCATTAGGTGCTGATGGCCTTTCTTCTTACCTTCTCAAACAGGCTCAGAAAACCCCCAGGCTGAAATATCTCATGAACAGACCAGCCAGGAAAGCTGGGTTCAGAGGATGTTTATGGCGCTGGTGGGTGACAGTGCTCTTTTTACCACCCGAGAAGGCCGTGCTGGGAAAGTCCACAATTTCATGTTAGGTTTGAATCTCAATACTTGCTACCCATTATCCCCTTTCGTTGGTGTCAATACCCAGGAATCTGTGGAGGATGATGAAATGGATACTGCTGTAACAGGTGAAAATCCCTATGTTTCTTCATTCTGTTTCTCTGATCAGTAAGACAGAATAAAATGTAAAGCAATTTTTTTTGAGACTTGCTTCCAAATAGGAATAGTCCTTGACATACAATCATTTGTTTAGCGACCGTTCGAAGTTACAGTGGCACTGAAAAAAGTGACTTATTCACCTTTATAACCATTGCAACATCCCCATGATTAAGTGATCAACATTCAGGTGCTTAGTGATTAACATATATTTACAAGGATTGCAGCATCCTGGGGTCATGTGATCTCCATTTGCCACCTTCCCCGCCAAAGTCTGACAAGCAAAGTCAAGTGGGTAAGCCAGATTTGCTTAACAACCATGTGATTCTACTTAACTGCAGTGATTCATTTAATAACCATTGCAAAAAGGTAAAATAGGGCACAACAACTCATTTGCTTAACAACATATATTCTGGTCCCAGTTGTGGTTGTAAGTCGAGGACCACCTGTACACATAAGGAGTCGTGCATAGTTTAGGTCTTACAAAACCAATTTCACTCACTTCATAGCGCTCTCCTTGCCCTTGAGTTTGTCAAAACGCTTCTTAGGCACTCGAGTTGGAACAGAGGAAACACTTGACACATAACTGGATAATAACCTTTAGCATATAAGGAAATGAAGCTACTTCAAATAACATTTAGCATATAAGGAAGTGAAGCCACTTCAAGCAGTTGACCACTCTTTGTCAACAGGATAGTACAGACCCCTTTTATATTTGCTGCAATTTAAATCCAGCACTTCTATTCCCTGCCTTCTCAGCACTTAAAAGACATCTGGCTTTAGTCTTTAGGCTTGGGGCCAGTTGACAGTTAACATGATCAGCATTCTCATTCTGGGAAGTGGTGGCAATTAGCATAATTTTGATACTTCCTGATCTTGTCTTACATGGGCTTGGTTATTAGAAAGAGCCTGACACATGAACTTTTCTGGTATGTCTTTGACTTACCTTCCAAAATTTTCTTTATTCACTTCTCTTAGTTACTTGAGGTTGTATAATAAGAAACACTTGATTCCAGTTCATCGATTTTCTCCTTTATTTATTTGTAGTAAGATTGTTCAAGTGTAAATCGAGACTAAGTAATCTGGACTTTAGTAGCATATGAATATTCTCATACAATCCCTTTCATACTTAGAGCGCTTGCTTTCTAAAATAAACCTCTTCCCCTCAAGTTGTCTTTTCTTTGGAAGAGTATCAGCTAAGATGGAACTATAAACCCTACCTAAAGGTTAAAACAGCATGCATTTTGAAAAATGTTTCAGTAAAAATATTTCTTTTAAATGTCTGTCTCTTCATAACAAAGGAGCACGATGGCTCAGCATTTAAAGATGTTCAGCTTGTCAGCTGGAAAGCAGACAGCGCTGGTTCAAGACCTGAGTTCCCTGCGATGGGGTGAACTCTCATCATGCCCACCTAGCAGTTTGAAAGCATGCAGATGCAAGTAGATAAATAAGTACCACTTCAGTTGGAAGGTAACAGTGTTACCTGCATCTGGACATATAAATATGCTGGCCACATGACCACAGAAAATGTCTTCAGACAATGCTGGCTCCCTTGGCTGAGAAATGGAGATGAGCACCACTCCTTAGAATTGGGCACATCTGAACAATGGAAACCTTTATCTTTACCTTTTACTCCTCATAACCTTTATAGTCCACCGTGTTGTTTCTCACAATAGTCCAAGGGCTACTCATCTACAAACATGATCATTCTATTGCTTCCTCAAAGTAATTTATAAAACTAAAAAGCTAAGTCCTGAACAGACCTTTGAGGATTCTACTCCTTACCACCTACCATTAAGAAAGCTGTTCATTCATCTCTATTCTTTGTTTTCTGTTTTTAACTACTTAGCAATCTCCCCTCCCAAAAAAAGAGGGTTTCTTTTTTCCACATATCTTTTTATTTTATTCAAGAGTTTTTGATGAGAAACTTTGTCAAAATCTTTTTAAAAGGCCAAGTATGCAACATTAACAGGGTCATTCCAGCCATGTGCTTATTGATAGCATCAAAAAACTCTCAACAATTGGTGCAACAAGTTGTATGTTTGTAGAACCCCTTCAGATTTTTATTATACTTCTCTTACTTTACTCTTATGTATCTGGTTATTTTATTTCTTAATGTATGATTTCTATCATTTTTCCTGGTACAAATGTTAAGCTGACCAGCTTGTAATCTGCAATATATCCCCTGGTTGTTCATTTTCTTAATTGGTGTCACACTGGCTGCCTCCTAGTCCTCCGAACTGAAGCTAATTTGAATAGCAGTTGAATTTTTGGGAGTGGGAGGAGCTAGGAGTTGACAATTTCACATTTGAAATTTGTTTTTTTTAAAAACAAGTTTTATTGTTTTTTTCATTATACAGACAAATACTTAAGAAACAACGTGGTGGCAGGGCGATCAATTATCCGCACAACAAAGTCATACTCACAGAGTTCAGATTAAATCATTAAAAACTCCTTCACTTTTCCCTCTAATAACATATTATATTCAAATTAATATATTTCAATACAACTAGATCAATCATATCAATCCTCAATAACCTTTCATCTAAACAGATCCACAAATCCAGATCCTGTATGAAGCTTACTATTTCAATTACTATATTCCATATTTCTAATCTAAGTACATAGTTAACACTTCGGGAGTCTCCCCATTACCTTTTTCCTTAACATATTCAATAAACATTTATTAATATCATTTCTTCTTTTTCCCTATTCCTCTTCCATAACAAAGTGACTATCAGTTCTAATATATATATATATATATATAATATATTAGTTCATATCAGAAAAGAAAAAGAACAAAGAAGAGAAAACAAAACAGAAAAAAAGTTTAAAAAGTACCTTTCTATTTCTATTATGCTTTATAATCTAACAATCAATCCCTCAATATCTATATCACATTTCTTTAACCTCCTCAAAGTTACTATATCCAAAACACATTAATACATAGACAAAAACCTTATTATTAAGTTCAGACCTTTAATTAATTTTTATTCAATCTAACATCTTATTTAACTGTCTTAAGCCATAAATCAATCCATATCTAGTAAGCCTTTTAAACTCATTACATAAAACCTTAAATCACATTCTTAAATCTTATTCTAGCTTTCCTTTTATGCCAAACAGGTTTCCATAATAATACCACTATATCAATAAACAAATCATTTTTTATGTCTTGTAGTATCCTTTGAAACAAACAGAGACATCTTCTTTTCTGTTTTAGAGACCTAGCTCCTTTGTAAATAATCCCTTGTTTGGAAAAGTCAAATCTCCACATTTGAAACTGTTGACTGGCTGGCTCAATTACTTTGTAGCTAATAGTTGTTTATCCAAGCTACCATCGTTCTCAGTTCGTTGGGCTTGTCTGTCCATTTCTGTTACTTTTAGGGTTGTAAGTGGTTTAATTACAGTCCTTTTTAATTCCTCGGAGATCTCATCAGCCTGCGTATGAAGTAAAATGGAATCTTCTTTACCTTTAGTTAATTCCACTTCTGTTGTTTCTTGGTCCATAGAGTGCTCAGACAAAGTCTGGGAGTCAGTTTGTAAGTTCAGAGCAGAATTTCTGTTTTTTATTTCCATCATGAATTCTTTTATTTGCAAACGTATTTCATCAGCTTCATAAAGTTTTTCCAGTATAAGTTTGTAGTCAAGTTGAACCAAGGGTTGCTCCATTTCAAAGATAATTAAAAACAGTCTGTATCATTTAGTAGAGGCTGTGTTCAGAGAACATTTAATCAGTGTCCACCCCCACCAGTACAGCTGTTAATTTTCTTTGTATTTTCCCTTTTATGGTAATCTGAGAATCAAGGTCAGTCCAATCCTCATAAGATAAAGTTGCAATTTTAACTTTTTCCACAAGGTGTCCTCAGTACAATGTAAAATTTTCTCCCAGAAACCAGGAATCTCATAAACAAGATCAGGAAACACAGAAAAAAAAGAAATTCAAGTCCAATAGCAGATTCAATATTCACAAAATTTTCCAAGACCCCAAAGTGAAAAAAAAATAAGAATAGAAAAAAAAATCACTTTAAATTAATTCAGTCCATTTAAGCTTCTTTTTCCTACATTCACAAACGCCGCCTTCTTAGAGTAGGGAAATCATTTCAAAAGTGCTCTTTACAGGCACAAAAGAAAAAAGAAACCCAAGAGAGGGAGAAAAAAAAGTCTCACCCGGCTCAGCCATGGTGGTTGCTGTGCTTAGATGTTCTTCTGACTTCTGGTTGCAGCGGCTAGGTGAATGGCCATTTTACTGGCCGTTCTTTCCACCGTTGGCCCAAAGGAGCTATCTTGGTCCTTGGAAGAAGCTGCCACTCTCCCAAGGATGAGAAGGACCTCCTCACCGGTAGCCGCCCCCCCAAGGTGGCTTTCCGACCCAATTAAGGGTCTACCGGCAGCAGAGAATCAGCTGGCAAGGAGAGCCATCTTCTCGCACAGCTGCGAGCACCGCGATCCGGAACCGGAAGTCCACATTTGAAATTTTTAAAGAACTCTTAGGTGGATGCCATTAAGTCCCAGTGATTTATAAGTGTGTAGGCTTTTCAAGGAAGGAAGTCTAGAATATCTTTTGTTATTTATTTCAGTTTCTTCTATTAGAAAGTCAGGTATCCTATAACTTCTATAGTGGTGTGTGCATGTCAATATATATTGAATTAGGTGAGAGTGGGCAGTGCAGTGGTTCAGCAACTAAAACACTGGGCTTGTCATCTGGAAAGCCAGCAGCCCAGGTTCGAGACCTGAGTGTTGTGCAATGGGATAAATGGACATTCTTGTCCCAGTTCCTGCCATCAAAATCCTATAAATGCAAGTAGATAAATAGGCATCACTTCAGTGAGAAGGTAACAGTGCTCCATGAAACCCATGCTGACCACATGACTACGGAAACATCTTTGGATAGCGCTGACTCAACAGAGATGAGCACCATGCCCTATAGTTGGCGATGACTAGCGGAGTAAAATCTGCAGGGACTCCATTAGATGAAGGTGGCTATTTATTATATCTTTATATCTTAATATATACATAGAGTTTTGAAGAGTGGGGACTGACGATTTTATTTTTAGATGGTTTTACATTTAAAGTCTACTTTTCATCAAGAAGCCTCTAGCAGCAACTATCTCTTTATTTTGTCCTCCCAGCTATCTTGGGCTGACAGAAATGGCTGAAATAACTGTTTTCTCAAATTCCTTCTTCAGAGGAAAATGAATAGAGAGTTTTGTACCGTGTATTCATTAATAAGTTCTCATTCAAGCACAGACTCAAATCGAAACAAAAGTTCAATCTACACTTTCTGGCTTCCCTTAAAAGTACTTCCAGAAAGGAAATATCTCTGTTTCTCATCTAATCTTGATTCAGTCCATTCTTGGAAGAGAGGATGTACTATTTCAGATGAACTGCTTGTACATATGAAAGCTGCAACCGCAAATGAGAAATGGAACAAGGTTGTAATAATCTGAACCAAATGTCTGGTTTTCCATGCTGAATTTGTATTTACAAAAGAATACCCAGATGCGCATTTGTCCTTAGATCTTACATTTATCCATCCATATGAAACTTTGCTCTGCATGGTCTAGTAAAGCTCTACAAAAGTAATTGAAACAATAGAGTGGAAAAATGAGGTCATGTGTGCCTCATCTTGGGAAAAAAATAAACTCTAGTATTAGAGAATGGCCCATAAGAAACTTCATTTAATGCAGATGTCCCCTGATCTCCCTTCAGTTAGATAGCATTTGTTGTAATTGAATATATTTTATTTTTTTGACTATTTTCATAAAGCATCAAGTAGTTACTTAGGCAGATTCTAAAACATATTCACCAAATTTGAAATAGTTGGATAAAAAAAATCTTTAACATCCAAAAGGTGTGTGGTTCCTTCCTTCTTTTCCTGACACATTGTGATTTATTTTCTGGCTTCTATGAAATTAGAATTCCTCATAGGTTCACATTTTCCTGCTCATGCTAATCAACATTCCATCATTTAGATATACCACTTTTGAAGAGAGTGTATAACTGACTGGGATTATCTTCTCTCAGTTGCTGCAGGTACAAATCATGTAATCCACTGCATTTATATCCCATCCACCTTCACCCAGGAACTCAAAAGAGATGCACAGTTTTCTTTCTTTTCCTTTTTTCCTTCTCCTTGACTTCTCAAAGAATTACAATAAGGTAGTTTAGTCTGAGAGATATTAACTGGCTCCAAGATACACAATGAATGTGGGTTGTACTTTCAACAGTCTAACCACTAACCACACTGTGGAGATGAATAGTGAGCCTAAGAGACTAAAGAATAATATCACTCACCTATAACCTGGGTTATGTGCAAATTAATGCCCCACCCCTCCTCTCCCATTACCACATTGGACTTATCACTGTAAATATCCTGAACTGGTTACAGTGGTTGACTAGAAGTATATATAATAGCTTGCTTTTATTTAAACCAAACATGTGAGACTTTCAAGTATTTTATTTTTTTCCACAAACGTTACTGAATTACTTTATGGAATAAAATACAAAAAAGAAGTTGCAAAGGGGAAGCAGGGAAAAAACAACAGTGGGGGAGGGTTGCGGATAAGAATGGGAAAAGAGTAACTTCTGATTTTCTTTGGTACAAGCATGAAATACAATGACCCTTTGAACTATAGAAAACTATAGCACACAGAGCTTCTGTGGTTATAAACAATTCTAGTCATCAGATCCCAAGGTTAAAGTTTCATTTCTTTCAGCTTTGAGGAAAAACTCCAAAAGTGGTTTCCAAGAAGGAACAAGGCTAGATAAAGACTTTTCTTTAAACCAAACAATCAATTTCCTCATCTTCACCAACTCCATTAACTTCATCAGCTATTCTTCCATTGTTGGTATTTGGGAGTCCTTTCATTGTTGTGTGTAAAGAAGCCTTGCTGTTATTATCATGTAGAATAAGAGAATCTCATGGGTTTTTTTTTTGTTGTTATTCATTTTGTGTGTCTATCAAGTCTAGAACAAAACTCTGGTTTCAATTGTGCATTCAATTTTAGAATTCTCTGAATTAAAATATATACCTAGCTTTCTTGAAAGACTGTCTTGAAAGACTTTTTTTAAAATTTGAAATATGAGAATTGGTTTGGAAAATGGCATTAATCCTCAATATTGTTACCTCCCTTTTCCTAGATCCTGATGAATTTGACAGGATATATGAGCCTCTGGATGTAAAGAGTAAAAAAATTCATGTTGTGGACAGTGGACTTACTTTTAATTTGCCATATCCACTTATCTTAAGACCACAGCGAGGAGTTGATCTTATTATCTCATTTGATTTTTCTGCTCGCCCCAGTGATTCCAGTCCTCCTTTTAAGGTGAGTAACCTAGACCAGCTATGGACCTCAATTGACAACATACTTCACTCTAGATTTTAAGTCTGTAAGTCTTCTAATGAGTTCTGGGTAGTGGTTTAGGGGTTGGACCAGATTCAAGAAAGATCAATATTAGAGTTCCCAGTGAACTATATAAACCTGAAATAGTCAGCCTTGCTCAGCTCTGTCCTACTTTACATAAGGGAGGGGATAAAAGGAGAAGTAAGTCAGTTATAAGTAGAACAAATATAAATTTTATTATATATTTATGGTATAGATATTACATTTAACAAAAAGAATGGTAAATACCGAGAAGGAGATACCATTCTCTGATTGGGCATTTTCTAATCAACCAAAAATCATTCTCAACAGATTCTTCTATGGTTATTTAGCTTGGAAATTAGATCTGTTCTAAGGACCAGATCCAATTGTACCTTTGGCCAAAGAGTGGTTAATATTTGGAGGAGGCTTTAAGGTAGATACTTTTTTTTGTGCAGGAAATTTCCTCTTCCAACCATTTTGGGGAAGCTAGCTTCCACTTGCACAAGTCTTTTATTGTCCTGTGGAATGACTTCAAAGATAGTTTTGCCAAGTCATCCTCCATGGAATATGTCCAAAGGAGTTAAGCACAAAAACGGATTTCTCTGCTTTATGCTGTTTCCTCATCTGTCCTATATATTTATTCCCCTCTGAGGAAAATGTGGGTCAGCTGAAATTCAACATCTTTTAATCTGCTCCAACCAGAATATCTTAAACAATGCCTAAACCTGGCCATTTCATGCCACACCACTTTGGCAAATGTACTGTTCAGAGATTTAGTTGATTATATACAACTATGCTTGTGGCTTATTTGGTGCACTGAAAGAAGTAAATTCTCATCTAATTTATTGTGCTGTAAATATGACTTTGTAATACTACCAGGAAAAAGATGAGAAAGACACAACATTATACATTTGGGAAAATATTTGGCACAATGATCATACAATAGACACTTGAGAATAATGTCATAGCTTTTGGGAAACATCGAAAAAAGTAGAAATTGAGCCATAAGTGTCCACATAATTTGTAGCATTACAAGGAGCTGCCTTTATGACGCAGGAAATGTTATGACCCTCTTGTTTTATAGAGATCCACCCTTTTATAGTCAATTAAATGTTACATTTATAATGGCAACAGTGCCAAACTCATGGGGTGACTTTTTTCCACAAAAAGCTACTAGCAATCTAATAATACTACTAATAAACTGGTAACATACAACAGGTTTTGCCATTGAAACCTTGGACTATGCTTTCATTCTTCCTGCTAACTGTCCTTGCAGACTGCCACGAGGGAAGAAGAAATAGGATTCTTTTTATTATTCTTGCAGTTTGAATTCTGCCCATTTATTGAAAAGCAATAAAGTCTAGCATTTATATTATCTAACAGCTAATCACGGACAGATGTTGAAGGGCTATCCAATATTGCACCAAATGACCCTTATTTAGAATCTGATATCTTCAGTTTCCACAAGTTGTATTAAGGAATTAAGCTGTTAAACAGATAATGGATTTTTATTTTTACTAATATGAGGAAGAGAAGAGAGAGAAATCATTATACCTGCTGGACATTGAGCATATTTTATTAATAAATAGAACATTTAAGCAATCATAATTTTCTACTAATAGAAAGGAAGTATGAGATGAGATTGTAGGGTTCTGGGACAGAACCATCTTACACTGTATTGTAAGGTTGTTTCCCAACTCTGTATTTTCAAAGGACAAAGAATTAAATGAGTGCCTAAAGAATAAACAAGATTACATTTTTATTGCATTTTCCCTGAAGCAAAGAAATAAGTGATATCTTTATGGCGGGAAATAGGATATATGTTTCACCAGAGGAAAAGTTTATAGAAATCAACAGAAAGCTACGATTTTTATGGTATTTTATACTCATCATGCTTCTTCACAACAACAACAAAAGATTGGTGCGATGTATACGCTTAATCAGTGTTGAACAGAAATGGATATATTTGATTCAAACATAGATGTATCTCACATGAGCTATATTTCTGTTAATCCCCCTATGAAGGGGGATGAACCAATTTAGTGCTAGAAGCTAGAAGCCCCCCTAAAACTAATAGAAATAAAAACAGTGACAGTGTCTCTTCATCATTATCTTTATGTTTCAAAAATTAAGCACCTGTCTTCACAGTAGTATTTAGATGAAAGTTCTTTAATTTTGGCTTTTGCATCTTTCCTTCCACATGATAACTGAAGGAAATTATTTTATTTACTAAGCTGCAAGAGATGATGATATTTTGATTTACTATAGTTTTTCTATAGTAAAAAATTACCATAAGTTTCTAAAAACAGGAACTCTATAGATGAAAATTTTTAACAAAATGTCTTTTCATGCTGTTTGTTCTGTTTTTCTAAAATATGTTTCAATTAGAATTTTACAATACAATAAGGATATAAAAACTGAAAAGAATAAGAAAAAGAAAAAATATAGGAACTAAAAAAGAAAGAAAATATAGAATTTTGACTTCCCTCCTTCTTTCTGTTGAGTTATTGCTATCTTATTCTTTCCCTGTCCTCTTAACCCTTTCTAATCCCTGCATCCATAAATCATCAGTCTTTTCTTAGTCCACATCAAAGATGTACAAATACTTAGTCCAATCTTTAAAAAGTAGCTGTTATCATTTTTCCCCTGACCAACCTGATTGTTTTTGCCATTTCTGTGAACTCCCATCAATCCAATCCTTAATTGTGGATATTCATTTTACCTGTTCTGAAAGCTAAAAGGCTAAAATAAATGTGTTTTTGGAGATATGGGAATATATTTTGTAATCTTTAAAGGCATATGCAGGATAGCTTTGTTTGAAATGGGAAAGGTGGCAATATGTGATTTCCAATTTCCAAAACTGGAACTAAAGCAACTGTCTGTCCTCTGAATAAAATAATATGGTTGTAGCATGTATTCTTATACATCTCAACCAGCTGAGAAATCCATGTGGTAGAAAGGATTAAACATTATCACTTAGTGCAATCTGAAATCCAAACCATTATTTTTTAATGAAGCTTTTACTTTGATTTTATTGTCATTTTATGAGGGTTAGGGATATTTATTTCTGACTATTTTAATGTTTTTATGTTGTAAGCTGCCCAGAGTCACTTAGAGACCAGATGGGCAGCAAATAAATTTAATTAATAAATTAAATAATAAATAATAAAATAATAGGACTATATGTCCATGGAGATTCTCATCCAAGTCATGGTTGTCCCCAAAGGTGCTTTTTCAAAAGGCAACTGGCCTTTGTTTTTTCTTGAAGATGTTTCGCTTCTCATCCAAGATGTTTCTTCAGTTCTGACTGAATGGTGGAGGATGATTGTGAAGTGCATCCTTCCATCTTCCACCATTAAGTCAGAACTAAAGAAGCTTCTTGGATGAGAAGCGAAACATGTTCAAGAAAAAACAAAGTCCAGTTGCCTTTTGAAAAAGCACTTTTGGGACAATAGAAGACTGTTCTCTTTTTCTCTAAATTATGGTATGCATGATTGTATCAGTTTGTTCCTTTCTTGTGTTCCTTTATCTGATGTTTGTGTCTTAAAAAAATATGGCTTTCTTTCCAGGAAATTTTACTTGCTGAAAAGTGGGCCAAAATGAACAACCTTCCTTTCCCGAAAATAGACCCAAATGTGTTTGATCGTGAAGGGTTAAAAGAGTGTTATGTCTTCAAGCCCAAAAATCCTGCATCTGAAATAGATTGTCCCACGATTATTCATTTTGTTTTGGCCAATATAAACTTCAGAAATTACAAAACACCAGGTCAGTAGAAAAAAACCATCATCACCACAAAAAATAAATCTGACAATCAGTTCCTTGTAAGATAAACCTTGGTGTGTACAGATTTACCCATATGCTTTTTATTTTATTTTTTAACACTGAATTTACTTTCATTTTCAGTCTTTCTTTTTGGACACTACAGGGTAAGGGAGGGAGGAATATCTTTGTAACTGCTGTTTCTGTTTCAATAGACAATGAAATTCAAATATAAGAAATTATTCCTTAGCTTATCAGTTTATTTAGATCAGGTGGGCACTGCAATGTAAATAAAGTCACATTTTTGCAAACAATGCAACAATTGCACTCTAGATTAGGATTTCTTGTCTGTTTGAGGAACAACTTAAGAACAATCCTGTGTTCTCGAGAATCTTAAGACAATTGAAAAAAAACTGTCCAAAAAAATCCATCATACTTAAATGACATTATGTGACTACATAACCATTCATCTTCAGTTTTCACACCCACCCCCAATTTTGTACAGGTAGTCCTCTACTTACAACCATAATTGAGCCCAATTTTTCTGTTGCTAAACAAGACATTTGTTAAATGAGTTGTGACTCATTTTACGACCTTTTCTGCCACAGTTGTTAAGCAAATTACTGCAGTGTTAAGTGATTCTGGCTTCCGCCATTAATGTTGTTTGTCAGAAGCCAGCTGGAAAAGGTGATCACATGACCCCAGGACACTGCAACTAAATACATGCCAGTTGCCAAGCACCCGAATTTTAATTACATGATCATGGATATGTACTGTGTTTTCCCGAAAATAAAACCCGTTCTTATTATATTTTTGCCTCCAAAAGAGGCAGCAGGTCTTATTTTGGGGGGATGTCTTAAGCACTTACCTTAGGACTGCCGCGGCCAGGCCTCTCACACCCCGACACCTGCCTTGCCTCCCCGGCTCACTTCTGCAGCCGCTCACCCCTACTCGCGTGAATTGCCCCTGGCCTCCGTTTCGCTGTCAGGAAAGGCCTCTGTAGCTGAGAAACGAGCTTCGGATTGTCGTGCATGTCAATCCAGAACTAGTTTCTTGGCTGCAGCTCTGATGGTGAAACAGAGGCAGGGGGTGCCACGTGAGAGGGCGGTGAGCGACTGCAGAAGAAGTGGGCCGGCGAGGCAAGTATCGGTGTGAGAGGCCTGGCTGCAACTGTCCTAATGTAAGTGGATGCAGGAAGCGCAGGATAGCTCCGCCCCCATGTCCCTGCTCTAGCTTCATTTTTATCCATGTGCCTCGCCCCACCTCATGCAACCCTCCTGGGTGGGGTCTTAAGTAGGGCTTATTTTAGGGATAGGGCTTATATTGGGCATGTAAAAATCAAGCTAGTCTTATTTTCAGGGTATCTCTTATTTTCGAGAAAACACAGTAAGTGTGAAAACTGATCATAAGTCACTTTTTTCAGTACCATTGTAACTTTGAATAGTCATTAAGCGAATGGTTGTAAGTCAAGGACTACCTGTATGGCATTCAGCCATAAAAATATTGCTCAGTTTTTGATATAGCTTGGATAGTCTATGCCAATTTTGTCAAGCTTTGCACACCAGAAGTTAAAATCCACAGGCAACTGATTCTGGATTAATGTATCATTATTTTACATGGGTTTTCTTTACTTTTTAAGATAATTTTTATACTCTTAGTACTCAGTTGTTATTTCATTCAATCTCTGTATGATCTTTGGAACAAACATGTATGACATTTTTTTTAAGATTCTGAAACCGATAAGCCAAAATTCTATTTGAGACAGTAGCAAAGGTTCAGTAAGATTCATCAATGTTTCATTGACTTTGCTAAAACCACAGACCAGGTTGTTTATTCTTGGTAACATTCTCAGTGTGCCTAGGACTAGGTATTTAAAGAATGAAAGGAGGAGGAAGAGCTTACAAGGAAAGTTTACAGCTTTTAAACATTGAATTGCATGCTTTTTATACCCACCTGCTGAATTATTTGATCTTAAGGTACCTCCTACTTTGCTGTCTAATTATAGGTGTTCAAAGAGAAACTCAAGAAGAGAAAGACTTTGCTGATTTTGATATTTTTGATGATCCCGACACACCTTTCTCCACATTCAACTTCCAGTATTCAAATGAGGCTTTCAGCAGGTTGCATGATCTGATGGAGTTCAATACCCTGAACAACTTAGATGTATGTATAATATACAAGGGAAGTTTTAGATGCTCTATTGAATTCAATGACTCTTATATCTATCATTTAAAGGTTCTATCTTGACAATTGTTATTAATGTCTAGATAATCCCCTTTGACTTTCAAATCTAGAAAGAAAACAGGTCCAGATAACATAAAACAAAAATGTATGTGTTACATTTATATAATGCAGCCAATGCACTTATAGTTGTCTTTCTATAGCTAACTTCTATATAATGGGCCCAATTTTGAATATCAGCAAAACACTCAATTTCCATAATATTATTAAGAGAGCAATTATTAAACATGGACAGATGACAATACAATGAATGGTCATTGAAGCTGTTGGGTATTGCCAGCATAGTGGGGTTGTTGGGCAAAAGTGCCAATTTCCTCAATTACGGCAGATAAGGAAGGCTATGTTAATATTGTCGATAATTCCTGCCTTGAATTCTGCAAACAAAGGTTGGGAAAAAAAATAAGATTCCTGTTGCTGCTTTGAAATGCTTTCTGCTTTAAAGTTCCATTGATTCTTGTCTTGCAGAGTTATATCTATTATTTCTTCAGCAGTTTGGGAACATTCCTTGCAAATCTATAAAGTGTAGACAAATGAGGCATTAATTTGTTTTTTCACAGGAAATGGTTTTAGCAACAAATGTTTAAACAGGAATGATCTTAGTTCTTATATCTTTGCTTTCTTCTAAAAAGCAGCAAGCAAGAACCTTGGATTGGCTTTTTATTAGGACTATCACCCCAAACTGTGAATGATTCTATTTCAGAATGTTGCAGACATATTCTTAGGATCAAAATTGCCCTGGCATTAAGGAAGCATATAATTGCCATCTCAACCTGGTTCATTCTAAATATGTTAGACCTTAATTCCAATAGTCTCCAACCAGACTGAACATAGTCTAGGTGGTCTTGGACTAGATCTCTCTTGAGGCAGAAAGCATTTTCCCTAAGCATTCCTATGGAAGTAGTAGTTGGCAACAGTTCTGGAATACTGCCTATGCTCCACTCAGCCCCAAGATTGGAGAAAATTTCAAAGCCATGCTCAATATGCTTCTCCTTTCTTATTTGGCCCAGAAGCTACGGTCAATCATGTATCAAAGTATTATGTTTACATTGCATTATTTATTTATTTATTTATTTATTTCTAAAATTTATATGCCGCCCAATCCCGAGGGACTCAGGGCGGCGTACAAAATTAAAACAATAATATAACAATAAAACAGTAAAATAAATACATTCATACAGCATGTCCAATCGTATCCCGCCCCGCCCGGGGACATCAGCCCCAGGCCTGCTGGAACAGGAGAGTTTTAATGGCTTTCTTAAAGGCCGGCAAGGTGGGAGTAGTTCGAATCTCAGGGGGAAGTTGATTCCACCAGATCGGAGCCACCACAGAAAAGGCCCTTTCCTGAGGGCCCGCCAGCCGACATTGTCTGACCAACGGGACCTGAAGGAGGCCCAATCTGTGGGACCTCACCGGTCTCTGGGAACTATGTGGCAGTATGCGGTCTGTAAGTAACCTGGTCCTATGCCATGAAGGGCTTTAAAGGTGATAACCAACACCTTGAATTGCATCCGGAGACCCACAGGAAGCCAGTGCAGCTCGCGGAGGATAGGTGACACGTGGGTGCACCTTGGCGCACCCACAATCGCTCTCGCAGCTGCATTCTGAACCAACTGCAGCCTCTGAACGCTCTTCAAGGGTAGCCCCATGTAGAGCGCATTACAGTAATCCAGTCTTGAGGTGACAAGGGCATGAGTGACCGTGAGTAAAATCTCCCGGTCCAAATAAGGCCGCAACTGGTGCATCAGGTGAACCTGGGCAAAGGTCCCCCTGGCCACAGCCAATAGATGTTGTTCCAAATTTAGCTGTGAGTCCAGGAGGACACCCAAGTTGCGTGCCTGCACTGAGGGAGGTAAATTTACCCCCCCCCCAGGACTAATGATGGACCATCAGGTTGACCTTTGGGAGGCAAGACCCAGAGCCACTCGGTCTTGTCAGGGTTGAGTCTAAGCCTGTTCACCCCTATCCAGACCCTCACATCTTCCAGGCACCGGCACATCACGTCGACTGCTTCACTGAAAGGACAAGGGTGGAGATATACAATTGGGTATCATCCGCATACTGATGATACCTCACCCCGTGTCGCCGAATGATCTCACCCAGCGGTTTCATGTAGATGTTAAAAAGGACGGGGGGACAGGACCAAGCCCTGAGGCACCCCATAATCGAGGCGCCTAGGGGTCGATCTCTGTCCGCCCGCCAACAACGACTGTGACCTGTCAGAGAGGTAGGAGGAGAACCACTGTAATACAGTGCCGCCCACCCCCACCTCTCCGAGACGACGCAGAAGGATACCATGGTCGATGGTATCGAAAGCCGCTGAGAGGTCAAGAAGCACCAAGATTGAGGAATAACCCCTATCGCGGGCTCGCCAGAGGTCATTGGTCAGTGCGACCAAAGCAGTCTCAGTGCTGTAGCCGGGCCTGAAACCAGATTGAAAAGGGTCCAGATAATTGGTTTCATCCAAGGATCGCAAGAGTTGGGACACCACGACCTTCTCTACAACCTTCCCCACAAAGGGGAGATTGGAGACAGGACGAAAGTTCTTCAAAACAGCTGGGTCCAGGGAAGGCTTCTTGAGGAGGGGCCTCACCACCGCTTCCTTCAAAGGTTGCGGGAAAAACCCCTCCATCAAGGAGGCATTGATTATCGCCTGGAGCCAGCCTCGTGTCACCTCCCTACTGGCAGAAACCAGCCAGGAGTCCAATAAACAGGTGGCAGCATTCATTGCCCTCACGGCCTTGTCCACTTCATCAGGGGTCACAGGTTCAAACTCGCTCCAGATAACATGACTAAGACCAGCCCTCGGCATCTCAGCTGGCACTGCCCAGTCGGAGTCCAGGTCTCTCTGAATCTGAGCGATTTTGTCCGAGAGAAACTGAACAAACTCCTCAGCTCTCCCCTGTAAGGGTTCCTCCACCTCCTCCACTTTAAGAAGGGAGCGGGTCACTCTAAACAAGGCGGCCGGGCGAGATTCTGTGGACGCAATAAGTGCGGAAAAGTGAACATGCTTTGCCGCCCTTATCGCCACTAAATAAGTCCTAAGATAGGCTCTTAATAGTGATCGGTCAGATTCAGAGTTACTGGCCCTCCAACGTCGCTCTAGACGTCTCTTGTGGTGCTTCATCTCCCGGAGCTCCTCAGTAAACCAAGGCACTCTCCGGGGACCACTACCACAGAGAGGTCGCAAAGGCGCAATTCAATCCAGGACCCCGGACGCTGCCTCATTCCAGGCCGCAACCAGGGACCCGGACGAGTTGTGGACAAGGGAGTCAGGTATTTCCCCAAGCTCCTCCTGGAACCAATCTGGGTCCATTAGGCGCCTGGGGCGGAACCACCTAATCGGCTCCATCTCCCTGCGGTGGGGGAGTGATGCTCTGAAGTCCAGCCTCAATAGGAAATGATCTGTCCATGACAAGGGAGAGATCTCTATTCCCCTTAATTCCAGATCATGTCTCCATTGCCCCGAGAGAAACACAAAGTCGAGCGTGTGACCACCCCTATGAGTCGGATCCTGGATTACCTGGGTCAGGTCCATGGTTGCCATGGAAGCCATGAACTCATGTGCCGCCTCTGAGCGTTCACCGAGTGATGGCAGATTAAAGTCCCCCAGTACCATAAGTCTGGGGAACTCCACCGCCAACCCGGCTACTGACTCCAGCAGTGCAGGCAGGGCTGTTGCAACGCAGCTGGGAGGTAGGGATGTCAGCAACAAGCCCAACTGAACCCGTGAACCCAACTTCAATAGGAGGGACTCACACCCAACAATCTCCGGGGCAGGAATCCCACGAGGACTCAGGGACCTCCGAGCGATGACTGCCATTCCCCCACCCCTGCCCTGATGTCGAGGCTGATGAAGCACGACAAACCCATCCAGGCACATCTCCGAGAGGGAAACACCCCCCTCAGGGCCCAGCCAGGTTTCGGTTATACATGCCAGGTCCACCCCCCTGTCCAATATTAGATCACGGACAAGGGGGGCTTTGTTGACAATGGACCTGGCATTAAGCAACAGCAGCCTACAGCTAGGGCCCTGTACTCCCCTGTCACCAGTACTACAGGATGAGCCTTTTGAGGGGCCGGAACAAGGAATCGCTCTAATATAGCGAGTCCTCGTTCCCCAAAGATGGCCTGCCCCTCGGCTCCTGCCATATCTGCCCATCCCAGTCATAACCGGGATTTTCCGACCTTCTTCCCTCCCCGGAGTACCCCCACCCTCACCAACCTTCTCCCTTCCCGACCGGACTAGCTTTCCATGCACACCAAGCCCAAGGGTAAGTCCTGTCCCCCCCCGCTTTTGCTATTGCACTCAGCAGAGGGGGCACCAGGCTCCGCCCCTGACTCTACCATTCTCCTACCACAAACACTCAATACACATTTACACTCAATTAATGTACATAAAAATAATTCATATTTATACACCCTAAATACAATAATAAAATTTATACCTAACAGGGCCACCATTCATCTGCATACATACACATACTCACAACAAACATTCTCTAAAAAATATTGCCCCTCCGTGTCCCAGGCTGGCCCAGTGTGGCCGGCTAGGTGATTGTTAGGTGCTTGTCTTGGGGCAGCCCGTACTTGGCCTTATGCTCCTCAAAGAGCTGAGTCAACTTCTCCAGGTACCTCTCGTGCAGCTCATCAATGGCTTCTCCGGACAGGTGGGGCGTCTTGAGCACCATAATCGGAGCTCCAATGATTGTGTAGATAGGACTCCGGAAGGGCAACAGGCCAAAGCTGTATTGGAAAATGCTGGGTCTCGGAGAGGCTGAGGCTGCCGGCCAGCTGCTTGTGCTCGGCGCTCACCACATAGTGGTTCTTCTCGAAGGCGCTCTCCAGCTGCAGCAGCTGTGAGGGTGAAAAGGCGGTGCAGATCTGCTTCAGCTTCTGGGCGAAGGGCCCATGGAAGAGCAAGTTCTCCTGGAACACCTCGCCCCCTTGGAATTGGTACCTAAAGAAGTGCTTCTGCAGCACCCAGGGATAGAAGTTGAGCGGGTCACGCGGCTGCGGGCCGAAGAAGGGGTGAGGCGAGGGGGGCAAGTGCAAGGAGCCCAGTTGCGGCAGATGGATGGTGGTTCACGACCTCCGGGAAGAGCAGTAGAGCGAACGCCCGCCGGTGGCGGCCGAACCCTGGAAGCTGTGGGGGGGAGGCCTTGACGGCGATGCTGGCCGGGTATCCGAGGGCGGCGGCAGCAGTGGCAGCGGCATGGGACGAGACCGAAACCCGGTTTGCCGCCCGCCTAGGCGGTTCCCGCCCCGTGGCTGAGAGAGGCAGACGTGGGTTTCCAGCTGCGGCAACAAGTCCTGCTGGATGCCAGTTGAAGATTTTGGGTCTCTACTGAGTACAGCAATTCTCCAGCCTCATAACTAACGTTGGGGGAAGAGGAAAAAGCATCCGTCCGGGACAGCCCATGCGGGGGAAGCGCCTGACTGGCCATCTAGCACCTCTAAGGCGTTTCAGGGTCTCTCGGACTCCTCCAGTAGCGCCGGGCAAGCATTCTAAAGTTGTTCACTATTCCAATGCAATGACACGTCCTTTTATTAGACCTTGATGCAGTAGAGTTCCCAGGCAGCACACCAACTTTCTGCTTTTGCATAATAATGCCATCATGCTTCTGTGTTTAAAGAGTTAATCTGTATCCAGGTTTTACTTTGTTATGCAAATCAGGCAAGAAAGACGATCGCCATTTTACTTTTCACTTTCTTCTAAAGGGAAAGTGAACAAAAGAAGAAGAAGAGGAAACTTGCTGAAGTTAAAGGCACCATCAAGCTTGAGCACAGTCTCTCCTGGTCTGCTCCGTCTGCTTTCAAATACTCACAAGCAGCTGAAAAAAAAAGCAGATGTGGAAGCGGCAACTTGCTTCATCCCAAAAGCTTCGGAATGAAGGCTCCCTGGAACGCAGAGATTGCTCAGGATCCGAGGGAGCTCTACCCTCTGATCCCCAAAATAACAGGGATCCAGGGGAGCTCTTACCTCTACCTGAGAGCTCTCCTCCTCCCTTTTTCCCAGGGAGGAGATTCAAGCCGCGGGACAGCTGATTGTCAAAGTCCCGCGGCTTTTACACGGACCAGGAATGGGCGGCTTTGTAAAACGCTGCCATTCGTCGTCACTGGAACCACCGGAAGTCTTTCCTTGCTCTAACTCTAACCTTACTTTCTCCTTGTTGCTTTAATTTCCGAAATCCATTTTGTAGGCTTAAGATATGAACCAAATCCTTAGAACTAGTAGGATACTTTCATACATTAAGTAGTCAGTTCTGACCATGAATTTACCTATTATGCTTTATTGACAAGCAGAGCTTCTAATTAATGCATAATGGACAAAATTGCATACTTCTACAGAGTGCAGACATAACTTTCTTTAGGGAGAAGCAGAAATTGGCTGATGTTTCATTAAACAGAAAAAAGAAGGCACATGGCTTCCATATGCATAGACAATGACATTTTTCTTACATTTAACATTTTGTAACCCACTCACCCACCCACTTTTCCCCATAGAAATTCCATATATGGACATGTTGATGCATGTTCAATACAATGGAAATTTATATATTTGTTAATTAAATTTATATGTCGCTGCTCTCATGGTTTCATACACTGAGCTATAAAGTTGATGCTAAGGTCTCTTTCACAAAACAGAAAAATTGGGGATTGATTAGATGGAGAAGCTGAGAAAGTTAGTTTATGGTTGTGTTCCTGAACAAAACCACAGTTTTAATATGCAAAATATAGTTGAACTTTTCTTTTTGCTACACAGTTTAGTAATTACTAACATTACTTTTCCTGCAGAAGTCCTAACTGTTGAGTATATTATGATTAAAAGGGGCCATCTAGTGGTTAAATTTCATTCTCCATTAAAATAAAAAAAAACACTGTGCAAATTAAAAATAACAAGCATAAGTTATAAAATCATATGTTACAATTGTCCATGGTAATATTTTCATCAAAGTCTTTGCTATTGCATACATTCTCCTTTCGTATACGCTTCTTAGTTAAGCCAAGAATGATTCTAAATGAAAATGGATTCCAGAAGTTAAATTATGCACATAATATCTGAAAGAAGGGAAACATCTCAAAAAAAGATACACAAAATCAGTGCACAGATTATCTTGTCCATAGCTTGAGGGATAAGCCCAGCCTTTGCTTGCATTAAAGGGCTGTATGTGAAGGAATTCTTGCTGCTGCTACGTTTATGCACTTATGAAATTGTGCATATTTGGATCATGGCGAGAATCTGTCATTCTTTTGAATAATGCTATCAAAGTATATATTAGAAAGTGCTGTATTCTTTTTTATTTCAGAAAGTAGAAGTATATATAAGCTTAGGATATGTGCACAAATATTTTGGGACTTCATACTATAGTGTTTCACATTCAAAGACTCAAAAGGGGTCTTTGGATTATTCATGTGCTATATAATACATGTATGGGAAATGTATGTGTGTTTCTGTATCTACTTGTGTATAAACAAACATACACAAAGAGAACAAGATCATTTTATTTCCATCAGAAATTATTTCTTTAATGTAATTAATCTTTTGTTTGTTTAGTGTAAAAAGTATACAGTGCAAATCTGATAGATACCTCTTTAGAAATTGGTTCCACTAGGTTTAATGGAACATATTTCTTTGTAAGCAAGCAGATGGTACATGACAGCACCAGTACAATTTTGATACTATTCTTATTCTTTTTTTTTTTTGCAGGTAATCAAAGAAGCAATAACAGACAGTATTGAGTATAGAAGGCAGAACCCATCACGCTGTTCTGTATCACTCAGCAATGTTGAAGCAAGGAGATACTTCAACAAAGCTAAAAGCAATAGCTGTACAGAAGGATAAATACCAGCTTTGCTACTTAGAACCAAGACTTGTTGCATTGATCTAACAGACTTTATGCAGAAAAGAATCACTGGGAATTAATCATTACAAAATAAAGGAATACAATTGCATCCCTGATGATGATGAAAATGAGAGCAGGTTTATTTACAGCTAGATACCAAATAACATGTATAGTATACATTCCAAAATAAGACATAAAGGAAGAAGGAGAAAAAAGAACAAAGTAAAATACTTAATACAACAGAATTCATAAACATTATACTAGACAGTAATGTTAAATAAAGTAAAATTAAAAATGGTTAATCTGGTTTTTCTTCAGATCATATAAATCCGTCCCACTTATTCTTGTATATTCTCCTCATTCCTTTAAAACACTTATCCCCAGCAAGGCTTTCTCTAAATATATTGATTTATTTAACATGTTGGAAGTTGTAATCTTAGTTTTAGCTAGAGACTGAGTTGGGGAATGGTTGTTTTAAAAATACTCTAATTTTTGATGTGAAAATGCTGTATTGTAAGTAAATTGTTTCTTGAAAGCATATTCTTCCCAGGCAATTATATAAAAATATTTGTATCACTGTGAAATGAATGTTAAAAGTATAAATCCATCTCCATGCTCCTTTGATTTAACAATATCAAAAACAAACGAGGTGGATAATAACATTGCTTGCTTTTCTTTTTGTTTTGTTGAATTTTTATCTAATTGAACATAGTAGAACCTTGATTTACTTTAACTTAGGTAAAGGACAGGAACTTTTTTTAGAAAAAAATGTTTGTTTTCAAGTAAAGTTAACATTCTATACATTCTACAAAGGGACTTAAACTATCAAAACAAATAGTGGCTTCCTTTCCCAGTTATGGACATGTTCACAGTTATTTATGTTGCCAATTGACACCGGAAAATATAGGAAACCATTCTGCATAAAAGTTATTTTTGCAAACTACTAGTTATTACGAGCCCATTTCCCCTTCCATCACACTGCTATCTCATGCAACCATCTGTTATTGTTGCAATCTGTGCATAATTCTAAATCCTAATGGAGGATGCTTGTTTTGCGCATAACCTGTTACATGAATCTACACCTTATGATAAAGGAATATGTAAGGCTGTTATGGTTTGTTGAATACCCCCAGTTTGGTATTGTGTGTGAGCCACACTATGAAATCATTTTTCAATATTTAATTTATGGAACATGTGATATATTTCAGAGCCAAACTAGAGCCAATCCTTTCCAGGTCATGCTCCCATCCCTTCTCTTTGTTCCTTGGTAAATATACTAATCTATTTTAGATATGGAGTTGCCTTCTCAAACAAAACAGAATATATTTCCCTTGCTGGTTTGTGCTTACAATTGTAAAATCTTGACAAGATGGGCTATGCTACTGCTTGGTAGAAAAATTAAATTCGGATGAGCAATTCAGTCGAGCACGCAGGAAAAATACAGAGTAAATGCTAAAAAAAAAAGGACATTGAGTTGAGTGGGTATAGAAATTGAATAAATAAATAAAATTACTTGTGGGTATTTCTTGGTGAGGATGTTTGCCTTCAAATTAACATATGATTCCTGGTGACTGCCTGGATAAGTCCTTGCAGTTTTCTTGGGAAGTTTTTTCAGAAGTGCCTGTCCATTGTCTCCTTCTTAGGGCTGAAAATGACTGGCATGAGGTTACTCAAATGTTGACTTCATGTTGAAGATGGGATTAAAACTCATGACATTTTGATTTCTAGACTGATCTCTTAACCATCTCATATAGTTTAGAAACCAAACTATATCCACTGAACCAGATATTTAATCCAATATGTAATTATTCCTTTTGTATGTACTCCTTGCTGGGAATTGTAAAAATCTCCTCCAAATCAGAGTTAATTTATGCCTATTTCTCTTTTGCTCCAGGCACCAAACAGCACCAATTGATTGCCCACAAGAATATTTACTTCCCTTCTGACTTCCCTAAAAAGTTTTTTTTTTCACATCCCTACACAAAAGAGAATTTTAAATCCTTACAATGGCCAGACATTACAAGGGCAATTGAAGGATAATACATATATACCTGTAATGACATTTTTTTGCTATCTAACGTCTATTGTTTAAGTCCAGGGAACACGAGAAGTTACAGTAATTGCATTCCTTTTCCCTGGAATGTTGTAAAATGATCTCATATTTGGCCAATATTCATTCGAAAAGTGACGTGATTATCTTTGCTAAGTTGAAGCAGTTTGCAATGGCAACTATTGCAAATATGTATGATCAGACCTCTGCTTTTATCAAAAGTAATGATCCTTGGCTGTTAAAATGCTTTATTTCAAAGCTTGGGTCCATCTCAGAACAAAAATATTAATGCCTCTGGAGACTGGAACAAAAGATCAACTGAAGGGTCATGCTTAGAGCTTTGTTTTCAAGACAGATGGAACGAGATAGCATTCCTAATAGATGTAGTTACTTCCATGGTTGATCATAATTTCACTTTATCAGGAGAGTTTATGATGACCCATGTACAGCCGGTTTGCTCTTTATTTAACTGGTGCCTTTCTCCCTCCTCTCCAATAGTCTCTGGTTCTAAGAAAGTCTTTAGGATGTTTTTGCTAGAAATTTATTCTAGTTGATTTTTGTTGATCTATGCTAATTTGTATTGCATTTTTTTCTTGCGGGACAGCTATTTTTGTTAAATTTGGTTTGCATAAGTCGTATATTAAAGAAAACCCTACAATCCTTCCATTTTGAAAGACTGTTTATTCAATAGTTGCTGAATTTTTAAAATAATTGTTTAATTATTTCATTTTCCTTTCTATAAAAATGTAAGTTGCTTACTTCATTTAATAACTATTCTATCCTCTATTGTATTAGTAAGGGTTTACTAAAAGATCTATCATACTGATTAATCTGTTTTATAATAATGTGAATTAGATGTTTAAAATCATGACAGGATTTTATATATTTTTTTAAAAAAAACTTTCTGTGAAAACAAAGGATGTGATACAATCTTTTTTTTAATATATATATATATTAAGTAAAACCATCAACATGTTAAATCATTCTATTTTCTTTTGTTTAGGATGTTTAATTGTTTCACAGGACTAAATGAAGAATTGTCCCTTAAAAACATTTCATATCTTTTTCTTAAAATACTTGGAATATCATCTGTTTTGTCCCATGACATTATTATTTAATGTTTTAAATAAATGTTACTGTATGGTTACATTATAGACTATAAAATTTACTGTCTCACATTTCCATCATTTATTATACAGTTGTATTATAGGAAACATAATCTTGATTCACTTGAAACCATGGTTTAGAAATACATTTGCTCAACCCATTCCTTTTCTCTCATCACTTCAAGATTTGTCATTATGTTTTCTTTCCCCTGGTTTGATGTTCGGTTTCAGTTCATTCAGTTTTATTTATTTCCTGTCTTTATTATTTTTACAAATAACTCAAGGTAGCACACATCTCCAACAAACTGGCCCAAGGTCACCCAACATCGGACTTGAACTCACAGTCTCTTGCTTTCTAGCCCAGTGCCTTAGTCACTAGACCAAAAGGGCTCTCACATATATTGCATATAATGGCAGAACCATATAGAATGGGAGAAAACTGGCAAGGGACTTCCCTCAAGGTCATTATGAGCCCCCAATTCTAATATAAGGTAAGTAATGACGTAAAAAAAAATCTTGTGCCAGCCAGTTTTGCAGCAATCTGACTTTTCATCCCTACAGTGGGGTAAACCAGGGCTTTTCAACCAGTGGTACGGGTACCACTTGTGGTACATTGGCACCTGGCAGGTGGTATGCGACCATCCTAGAAAAGTGGTAGCGGGGGAAGGGAAATGAGCTGAACCGGTGGCAGTACCGCACAAGCCTGAGCGAGAGATGGCTGAAGCTGCAGGGCTGTCATGGCTCAGGGAAGCTCCAGGATCAGCGCTAGGCTCCAGCTGGAGCTTGGTGCTGATCCTTGCGCTTCTGCTGAGCCCAGAAGAAGCACCAGGATCAGCTAGAATGTTGCAGCATCTCCAGGGTCTTGTGATTTACATTCAGATGCTTGGCAACTGATTCATATTTATGACGGTCACAGTGTCCCAGGGTCTTGTGAAGTGACCAAAACCTGCTGCAACCACCCAGCAGATGGGGGGAATAAAAACCAAATACCCCCCACCCCATCACTGCTGCCAATCCTCAACAGAAATGCTTACAACAATGAAAACCTTGGACAGGAGGAAGAGCACTGCAGGCAGGTGTCTTGCTCGGCTGTGCCTTGGGGGCACTTTTTTCAATGCCATTGTAACTTCGAACAGTCACTAAGTGAACTGTTGTAAGTTGAGTACTACCTGTACGTTATCACTTTTTTGGGAGGGTCATCTGGTTTTTGAGAACTTGCTAGGCGATTGATGGTACTTGGTTGTTACCATATCCTAAAAGTACAATGGGTGAAAAGGCTGAAAAGCCCTGGGGTAAACATTAGCCACCAGTCCAACTGGTGATCATCTTATAAATAAATGATCCTGAGGATTTTGCTTCGTTTAATGTACAGGACTGTGTACATTAATGGAAACCATGCGTTCCTATCCATTAATTTAATATCTAGAAAGGTTAAAGAGACACATAGATGGGTGGGATTCAGGCATGAGTTTATAAACAAGGGTGCCTGGTAGGAGACTTAATGTGGCAGCTGGTTATGCAGTCTATAACCCAACAGTCTTTGTAGCATGCAATAGCATTAATCATGCTAAACATCTAGAGTTCTAGACTGTGAGGATTGGAAGCAGGGACATGGTCTTGAGGCAGTTGTTTTAGGAGATGGCCCAATGACAAGAGCCCAAAAGCGTTCTCTGTTTAAGGTTTGACACTCCCCATTTACTATCTATGAGAGCCAATTTAGTGGTTAAGGCAACAGGCTAGAAATCAGGAAACCATGAGCTCTAGTTCCACCTTAGTCATAAATCCAGCTGTGTAATCTTGCACTAGTCATTCTCTAGCTCAGTGGTTCTCAACCTGTGGGTCGGGACCCCATTTGGGGTCGAACGACCATTTAACGGAGGTTGCCAAACAACGCAGTCCGCCATTTTTTCCCCCTTTTCTTTAGCTGTGCTACTCCCTTTTATTCTATTGGCTTTTGAAAGCCAATAGAATAGACTCTCTTGAATAGAGTCTAATTCTATTGGCTTTCAAAAGCCAATAGGAATTGTCCAGGCTGTCTCTGCCCTGCTGAGCCCGCCAAAAGTCCCATTCTGCAAACAGTGCTGCAAGTTGTCTGCCGCAAAGGCGAGCTGTCTGGAAGCTTCCACCCTTCCCTGCTGAGCAATTACTAAAAATGTAAGTAAAAGAGGGCCAGGGGTGGGAGGTGGGAGACCGGTGGGCGCAGGGAGGGTTGCTGGTGTGCGTGGGGCCCAGCGGGTGCCTTAGCTCCCTTGGGCTGGGCCAGCTGGTGGCCCAGCCGGTGGTCGGCCTGCGCCGTCTCTGCCGCTTGCCAGCTACGCTTTGGCTGGCGCAGGGGGCGGCACCACGCATGCACGGCACTCATAGGCAGGGAAAGTCCTCGACTTATGACCGGTTGGGTAGTCCTCAACTTATGACCGGTTGGGTAGTCCTTGACTTATGACCGGTTGGGGGTCGCGGCATTAAAAAGATTGAGAACCACTGCTCTAGCTCTAGAAAGAAGGCAAGGGCAGATTACTTCTAAAAAAGCCTTGCTAAGAAAACTGGAGAGACTTGTCCAAGTGGTTGCTAGAAGTCAACAATGACACAAGGGCACATGCACAAAACAACAACCATACACATTTTACTACAGGGGTCCCCAACCTGTGGGTTGTGGCCCCTACGTGCATGCACTTACCTCCCCATTTACACTAGCATCGTCCCGAGCATCCTGCCGATGCTAATGCCACCTCGCCCCCGAGTGTCCCACCGGCTCCGTTTGCATGTGTGCATGCACTCATGCATAGCTGTTTGCATGTGTGCATGTGCTCATGTGCGGCCCATTTGCGTGGGTGCATGTAGCAATGCCTGCCTCTCTTTCCGGGCCACCAAATCAAAAGGGTTGGAGTCCTCTGCTTTACTAAGTACTGGTATCTATGTGAAACTAAGGTAGTCCTTGACTTATGACCATAGTTGAGTTCAAAATTTCTGTTGCTAAACAAGGCTATTTTTAAGTGAGTTGTGCCCCATTTTACGACATTTATGCCACAGCTGTTAAGCGAATCACTGCAGTTGTTAAGGAAATCATGAGCTTGTTAAGCAAATCTGGCTTCCTTCCTTTAACTTTGCTTGTTGGAAGCCAGCTGGGAATGTTATAAATGGTGATCACATGATCCTGGGACACTGCAACTGTCACAAATGTCAGTTGCTAAGCATTTTGAACATGTGACCATGGGGATATCTCAACAGTTGTGTGAAAACTGGTCATAAGTCACTTTTCCAGTGCTGTTGTAACTTTGAACAATTACTAATGAGTGGTTGTAAGTCAAGGGCCACCTGTACCAGAAGAAATAACCTTTAAGAGAGGACAGCAAGTAAATTGACTTTTATTATAATGATGCTTTGTTTGAAATTTTTTATATAAGTCTTCACTGGGTGAAAGATTTTGCCAAGTCCTCTGTGACAATGAATACCTACATTTTGTTGGCCATCATAGTAACCTGTTGTTTGAAGTTTCAAAATAAAACTTACAGGACATAGTTATATATTTAAATTTCCAGCTTGCCATGAAATGTGACATAACTTGTACTGATTCTCTTACATCAACTAAGATGTTGCCTTTTGTGTATAAGTGAATTCTCCAAATAGCCATATATTAAGTTTAGATTTTTTTTTAAATTGGAAGACTCATTTGTTTTTCATCTAAGATACTTCTGCGATTCCTTCAATGTTCTCACAACTATAATCTTATTTAATCTCTGGCAAATTGATTAATTACATCTGCTTTGAAACAAAGCAGCTTAACTAGATGACTGTTCCAGATATTTACTCCCTTAAATGTTGTTGTTCAATACAGTTGGATCTTATCCCAGTCATATGTAGAATATATTCATTGAAATCACAGAAAATTAAACAAGTCCATCAGTTTGAGTGGGTTTATTCTGCTAGCTCTGGATGTATACCCAATGTATAAAAAAGCCTGACTTTCCTTAGTTATGACATGGCACAAATCTTTCCTTAAAGAACCAATATATCAACCAAATGCTATGTTTGAATAGATGAAATTCATCTTTTCTTCTCCCGCCTGCAAAGGCCTCTCCCTTGTAATCCTGTTTTACAGTACAAAAGCTGACCTGTAATTTTGTTTTGTTTTAAAAAAGACTGTACCTTTGTAATTCCACCAAGTATCAATAGAAACTTGGGCTTATTTAGGATCTAAGCCCATATTGTCATAGATGGACAAAGCAGTGTTTCTTCAAAGAAGCTGGTTGTTTCTCACCCTACAGGTTCTATGGAGGATAAGTGGCCAGAAGACAGGAAATAAAGAAGAAAAATCTGCTTGCATATATCAAGAACCAAGAGGTTCTTTACAATCATCCCATCTGTAATAAATGTGATGAAAGCAAAGAGCTTGTTCAACAGTCATTGCTTTTTCTTTTTACAATAAACACTTCTTTAAGACTATAGGTTTTATTAATTCAAAAGGAGGAAAAACAGTGATTTAAGCCTTCGCATTTGCAAGCCTGCCCAGTTATACAGATACTTCTGTTTCACAATTGGCACAAAGTTGGAGTGTTTTGTATTTCTAAGGTTTGGGATGGAAAATCCAAAGTAACCTCTTTTCTAGGTTTTGTAGAGCATGACTGAAGTCAGAAGTGTGGACCAGAAAGGCTAAGAATTCTCCAGCTAGACCAGGGGTGTCAAACTGTCAGCTCACAAGCTGGATGCATCATGCTGAAACCGCGCCCACCCCAGCTCTGGCAATGGAAAAAAAGTCATGATACATCATGACACGTCACGTAATGTGGCGAGTTTGACACCCCTGAGCTAGACCAACTGAAAAGGACGAGGGGCGACATGATAGCAGTGTTCCAGTATCTCAGGGGCTGCCATAAAGAAGAGGGAGTAAAGCTATTTTCCAAGGTGCCTGAAGGCAGGATAAGAAGCAACAGATGGAAACTAATCAAGGAGAGAAGCAACCTAGTAGTTCTAGGAGAATACTAGGAGAAACTTCCTGACAGTTAGAACAATTAACCAGTGGAACAACCTGCCTCCAGAGGTGGTG